GCCAGAATCTGTTGAACGCTCTGGTGCAGGGCCTTTTTGCCAAATGTTCAGGGAGTGTGGTGCTCTCTACAGGAACCCTTGTCCTGCAAGGAAGAATGCAGCTTGTGAATGCAGTGATCAGCATCTCTAGAGCCCAAGTGCTCTGACCAAAGCCCTGGGCTGGGAAGGTGGGCCTGCTGGGCTGCCACCCAGCAGGCCCACCTGGCAGGATTGATCAAGCGTTCTGAGCATTGGAAAATGCTGCTGAGAGTGCAGGTGTTGGTTGTGGCTTGGATCCACACAATTGGTGGGTTGTGTTAACCTGGGAGTAAGCTAGGTGAATTTGTAGAGGGGTTGTTCGATGGGCCTGGGTATATGTGGTCTGAGTCTGGTTGATCTGCTTGACAGCCTTTTGATTCTGTTGTTTACCGTGCTCTGTTGACTTTCAGTTCAACTTGTGTTCAGGCGATTAACCTTGTTCAGGCTAAGACCACTCAGAGCAGAGTCTTAAATATGACCGGACTAGCTCCACCCCATGCCTTCGAGCTGTCCAAAAAGAAGAGAGGCGGACAGCTTGGGATCGATCGAATTTGGGAAGGGAGAGTTCAGATTGCGCGACCGCGCAACAGCTTTTCGAAGTTCGTTGTTTGTTTTGTTTTGATGCGTCTTCGCGCAGAATGGCCAAGTCTGTGCTGCCTGCTTCCCTTGTCCCAACCAAAGCTGCCTCAGCACTTTCTTCCAAGGAAGGCAAAGCCAGAACAAAACACGAGGTCTCGTGCCATTCCCCGGCTTGGAGAATTGAACACCTCCATCTCCAGCGCTTCGGCACGGGATTCCTGCTTAGGTCGTGGCGGCCTTGCCACAGACACGTGCCTGATTCCAACCGACCGAGATGATCACGAGCGACATGTCCGCCGCATGAAGAGGTGCGAACTCGCTGTGGTGATGTCAAAGTCGGGGGGGTTGATGGCAACGGGTCGACCCAACTCATAGTTCCGGTGGATCTCGCTCGCGCTTGTGGCATTTTCCGAAGACATATAGTAGCTGCGTAGCTAAGAATCGTTTTTTTCAGCACAGTCCTTTTTGTCCACTCTGAGTTTGAAAGATCGGACAAGTTCCGAATAGCGACGATTGAGTGATCCGCCTGCGAGGTACATGCAGAAACTCCAGCGGAAACCCAGCGAGCTCATCCAAGCGGTGGAGCGGAAACGCACAGCAGATCCGAACGAGGTGGGCGATCGGCGCATGGTCTGACAGGTGATGGGTCATCCGGTCTCATGGTGAAAGCCAGTTCATGTACTTGTTGGTCATTTCCTGGCAAACCCTTTGTTGTATTCTTTGGGCATTTGTTGAGGAAGGCAGAATGCACACCACATGAAACCGACGTCAAAGGTATTGAAATCAGGATCCATCATTTTGTCCAGGGTTTTGCTGCCGAGGAGGAATCATCCAATCTCACAGTGAACAGCTTCGTTCGACGACTACGGGATTTACGCCTGCGCGCCCGGCAGACAGTGGACCACCAGTCCAGCGGCTCCTCGTGATGCCTAAGATGTGCATGAGGGGTCACGAGCAAAAGGCAAGCCACAGGAAACCAACGAGGTTGAGTTCTTGTTCATGTCGGAACCAAAATAAAGAGTGACTCTTTATCGCAAGCATTACTATATAGAACTTGTGGAGTTCAAAAGCTCAAGCACAAGCCTGCCTTTTCCAGTGATACTCGTTTCAGTCAAATAAGCCGAACACCCCCTTGTGACGTCATGTGCTATTTTCCTGCTGCTGCTGTCGGGTTGGGATCATGAGACTGCTGCGAAAGCTGCAGTTGGAAGAATTGGCTTGGGCTGACAGCCCTTTCTGTAATTCTTGAGAGTGGAGAGGATTGCAACATATTGAGATTGACCAGTGACCAGCGTGCTTATTTGCGAATGAGCCGTTTTCAAAAAGGTTTCAACACCGTTCAACGTCTATTTCATAGATTATCTTCCTCCATATCCTCCAAGTGTTGCCTTGCATATATCTGAATATATCACATTGCCATTTCCCCATCAACTGCTTCAACAAGTCTCTGCTATATAGTCCCTTTTTGTCCATGGCTACAGGATGCCATAGGGTGCCCAAGGAAGTGTGCTCAAAAGTTCACATACATGATCATACATGTATAGTATAGCTGCGAGTTCTACTACTACCATCGAAGAGGACTATGTTTGGCTGATTGTCGAAGTGTATATCGCCAGCAAGAATCTCAGAAGCCGAACCGCCGGGCGGACCAATTCCCGTGGTTTTCAGATCTTGCGGTGTTCCAAAGTGGTGAAATATTTAAAGACGTTGCCTGGCCTGGAGATGTAGTTTTGGACCTCAAATTCTGGAAATGCGATCGTTGGTCAGTTTCTTGCCAAGCTTCCTTGTGTCGGTGTTGGTTCTCTTTTTGGCGAAGTGTGAGCATCAGAAAGGCACTCCGTTTGACATATCCACAGTCCTCCGTGCGGAGGATGAACAAATTCGATACTCGTAGATACTCATGAAATCAACCATGACTTCCGACTGACCAAAACATGGAGTCGTTGGTCAGTTGTTTGCAGAGTTGGACAGAGCACCTGTGACTCATCCACTGAACAGGATGATTTTCCTGAGACCTGAAGCTGAGAATGAGTGCATAATCCCTGGTGCACCCGAAGCTAGTAGGCACACGGGAGTTATCTAAACGAATTGGACACCCAGGTTGCACTCACTCACAGTGAATGCAGCATAGCTGCAATTTTGCGTCTCATGCAACTACCGGCTAAACTTCGGGTCAGCAGCATCCCGCAGATTTAGTCTCACTGGCGAGGTTCAATTCAAACAGGGAACGCGCAATGTGGCCGAATCGTTGCCTAGAAAATCGTTGCCTAGACAAATTGTTTTTATTGTGGTGGTCGGTGTCAGGAAACAAGGCATCATGGGAAGGTTTCTCTGTTTAAGCTGTGGCTTGCCGACGAAAAGGACGATCGCAAGATCTCGTTTTGCTTTTGTCCTTTCCTCCGATTCAAGAGCGGGCGCAGATCACCGGAAACCGCAAATCACAGGAATACTGACCAGGAACCAGGAATCATGGAGACCAAGAGATTCTGTCGATGTCACCCCGCCGACCAACATCGATTTGAATGCAAAACAGATGAACTCGAAACAGATCACTGGTCACCAAGAATGAGGACATATGAGGACGATGCCTGATGTACAAAACATTACAAACCCTTTAACAGCCCCGAAGCGGACGTATGACACAGTGTAGCTGTGGCTACTTTGTTCACTGAACATCATGCAACTACTGTAGGAACAATCCTGAAACGATTTCTGTCTCTCGGTGTCCGAAGCGTTACAATCTCCGGTCCTCCATGACTTCCCCTTGTGAGGTTTCGTTGTGGTTTGAAACTTCGGCAGAATAGTGTCTGCTACTACTACTACTACTACTACTACTACGACTACCACTACCAGGGTTACCACTACCACTACCACTAGTACTAGCAGCACTACTACTACTACTACTCCTACTCCTACTCCTACTCCTACTCCTCATCGTCACTTTGGAGAGTTGTCCTTGCAGATGAGCTGCAACACTTGCCTGGGGAACAGAGTCAAGTTCAGAAACTGGCCCGGGTTCAGAATTGGGCGGGTCCAGAATCTACTGGTTTTGTCGGTTTCAGAAACTACTTCTGGTGGGCTTAGAAACTATGCATTCAGAAACTATGGGGTGGGAGGGGTGGGGGGGAGAGGGGTGGAGGGTTAATGATGTTCATTTGGATGGTGCTTCGGAGATGATGCCACATGCTCGTGTGCTGCTAAGTTTCCGAAACCCACGCTTTCAGTTTTCCCACCTTTCCCGAGTTTCTCAACCTCACGTTTCTACTTTTCGAACCCAGCTTTCTAGCTTCCGAACCCCACGTTTTGGTTTCCAAACTCCAGTTTGCAAACCCCACGTTTCCAGTTTCCGAACCTAACGCCGACCTTTTACCTTTGGCTAGATTTACCTTACCCTCTTGCGAAAGTTGAGATTCGCAAGCAGGACCAGACAAAAGTCTGGCATTGGTTTCACCCAGTTTGAAGTGGTGCAAGTGAATGCAGGCTGACGCATGAGAATGCGAAGAGTTGCAATGCTGGAAGGGTTGGTTGTGGTTGACTGAGTTTCTCCGCACTTTTCGTTGAGGGTCATCGCAGCCACGGCCTGAACCACGAGGTCACCAGATCAACTCTTCCTGCAGTAAACAGTTTTCTTTAGGTCCAGACCGAGGAGCCCTTTATGCTGGGCAACAGGTCGGCTGGAGGCCGTCATCTATTTTAAAAAGGACGATCATGGATGATCATGGTTGGTTTGTGGTCATTCACATCAGTGCTTAGTTTTTTAGGTCTATAAGATGAAAGAAGGCCCTGGCCGTTGGCGACTCCGAAGTGTTTAATGGTCTCGATTCTCGAAGCAATTCCCGTGCTCTCGACCCTCGGATTTTGTGCTGGCAATTCAATTGACGATCAGAAAGATTTTCAGAGTGCCGTGACCCTGAGGTCCATACAGCAGTGGGGGGATCTAGCTGCTAGGGCAAACAACAAGAAAAGCATTTCGTGGCCAGAAGAAGTGCCGCGAGACGTCCGGGTCGGTCAGCTGTGGAATGATGCCCTAAGAAGGTCTGTAATTTGAGGCTGTTGGAGAGCAGAAGGCCGCTTAAGTGTTGTCCCTCAAAAATCCTCTGAAGCAAAGATGGTGAACAATGGTGATCATTTGGATCCGAATCCAATTGCTTGGATCTCAGGCAATTCGATGAAATAGCTCTTGATCGAATGGCACTTATTGTGTTCGGAGCACTCGCTCGGATGACAAACGTTAGTGCTCGCATCGGAGTGGCGCGAGTACCATGGCTGCTTCTTACTGAGTACCTATGCCAGAGGGTGGGCGGTCTTCTAGTTGACTACAAGTCTCAAATCTCAAATATGTATTATATGAACACACACACGCGTGATTATGATTATGTGAACAGGTTTCTTCTCTCTTGCAGGTTTCAGATGCAACCATGGTGTTGGCACAAAACACTACAGCACCTTCAGGAGCGACCCACCCTGCTACTCACTCTTTGCTTGTCTTCCCTGCTCTGAAAGCTTCTGGCTGAAGAGTCTGCCAGATCAGATCTTCTATCCGAACCATATCTTTAAGGCTCACTCTGCTTTCGGACATGGCTTTAGCAAATTTTAGCAATGTTTTTTGCCTCCACTGGTGCAGGAGAGGGGCTACTGGGTCTTGTGGATGACAACACCAAGGCCCGAGGCTGCTGCAAACATTCATCAAACAAATCAATACTCAATGGGAGGAACCAGCGGCCTGGCTACGTGGCTTCTTCAGGAAGAAGAACAAGGATTGTACGTCTTTCGGACATGGCCATTTTATTCTTATTGCCGTCGGCCACTCCAGGATAACACGGGACGCAGCATCATGACGAGTCTCTGGGACGCACATCAAGAGGCAGGTGTGATGCGGGCGCCGGGACACGGTGCGGGCGCCGTGGCCTGGCTGGGTGGCTGGCGCCACCCTGATCGCGTTGTCGGCGAAATACAAAAAGAGCAATAAGAAAAGAACACATTGCGACCGCACAGGGGGGCCACACTAAATCTCCGTTGACCTCAACTGGGTCAACTGGAGTCAACTGGGTCCAGAGATTTAGCGCGGCCCCCTGGTCAACTGGGTTCACCACGACGACAACGACTACTACAACTACTGCTACTACTAAGTGTCGACTGGGTCAACTGGGTTCAACTGGGTCTGAAGCCCCGTGGTCAACTAGGTCAACTAGTGTCAACTGGGATCAACTGGGTCAACTGGGCTCAACCGGGTCAACTGGGTCCACCACCTCAACTGGGTCAACTGGGGTCAACTGGGTCAACTGGGACCACAGATTTAGCGGCCCCCTGTGCCGACGCACCACACCAAGTCGAGTTTCTGGGTCGAAAGGAAAATAAGCAGAAAAAAAGCAGAAAATAAGCGGAAAATAAACAAAACGCACAAAGAACCACACAATAAACTAGAAAACATCCAAACAAACACATTTTTCTTTTCAGATTCATGAACCCCGTGGCTCGGCCAGGTTCCGCAGACCTACCGCTTAGAATTGGGGCTGCCGAGGCGGTGGATGGGTCCAGGAAGGGTTGGATTATATATATATATATGTATACTGTATTTATTTTTGTCTTTTCTATTTTAAAGTGGTGGTAGGCCGGTAGGAGGTAGGTGAGGGAGTAGGTAATTGGTAGCTAGAGGTATGTAGCTAGTAGAAGCTAGGTAGCTACTACCTGCAAGTAAGCTACTACGTATGGACGCAGGATAGCTCACGCTTCTTCAAGGAAGCTCCCCCGACCGCCCTAAAGGCGGCGGTGGAAACTTCCTTGAAGAAGTGCTCGCACTAATGATTTGGTTTCTAGATCTTTAGGACAACTTAAGCGTTAGAGTCAATCCATCGCAATTCCAACCACGACATGCTATAGAGTGGAATCTAATTGAACTGGCCTCTTCACCTCACAGCTTGCAACATGGAGATTGTGATCTGGCCAACCCAGTTCCTTCCAGCATGTCCCTTCGCGCCAGTCCCCAGCTGCTGGTTGGCGTTCCCAGCAGCGATTCGTCTCTCTCAGGGCCCAGTGATGCCAGGGCACCAAGAAGATTGTGCTTACGTGATGTTTGCATCCTTTTTGTGCTGTGAAGACTGAACAGGTAATTATCCTGAACCTAGTAGGCAGGGTCCCATTGGCCCCTGGTGGGAATTGTTAAGCCACGCTCATTTTTGCAAAGATCCACTCTCCTACAGCTGCCAGCTGCACTTTTGCCGTCTCAGATCACATTCCTGGGGCCTACATTGACGCGACTTGTGCCTAACTGGTCCGAGACTCATGAACTTGTTTCCCGATGCGCACCTCTTGTGCTTCCTGCCTTAGGTGATTTGGTTTGTTCATGTGCGCCTTCGTTCTATTTTGCTTTCCTGTGAAGGTATGTTTCCATGAGAGCCATTGGTTTGAGCTACGGAAAGGCAGGATGGAGATAGGATAGGGCTGTAGCATGCTTTCGCATTCTGTTCATCTATGTTTGTTTCACAGGAGGTTGTTTGTTGAGGATAACCCGTCTTTGCGGATGAGCTTTGATTTCAACTCCGCGTGGGACCGAGTGTTCGTCTATAAGTTATTCTTGTACTTTCTGATGAGTCGTACCGTACCATGCACAAACGAGCACTTTCATGTGCTCTACTGTAAACGACTTCAAGGCAAACCAACAGCAGGAGAACATCCAACTGTTTCATCGTGGTTTTTCATCGTGGTTCAATTTCAGGGATTGCTCAAGCTCCTTTTCCTACTCACGGTGCACCGACGCCCGCGCATGGCCACCAAGGAATTTGCCTTCGGAGCAGCCGCTTTGCTGGACTCAGGCTGGAGGTTTATAATGAAAGGGCTTGACCCAAGCATGCTCACAAAGGTGATGAGTCTTGCTTACCCTTGCCCGTCCTACCATTCGCGTGTCCTGGGAATATTTCCGAAGGTGGAACATTTATGCAGATGATGTCAGTTACTTCTTTCAAAGCAGAGTACACCCATTATACATTATCCGTTAGAGTTTGCCAGGTGCCACAGCCATTAGGGTTGGCCAGGTTCCCAACTGCTCGACTTGTCTTTCTGGGCTTGATGCAGATAGGGCAGGGAAATCTCAACATTAGCTGCATTGAGACTAGCAAACCCGGGATTAGGTGCCTTGAATGTAGAACATTGTTAGGAATTGCTAGACTATAGACAGCTCGGCTTCTGTCTCACCTCTTTCCTTGTTTCAAGATCCGGCAACACAAGTAGTGATGTGACCGATGCATGAATGAAGGCTATGCATGTATGTATGTATGTATGTATGTATGTATGTATGTATGTATGTATGCATATCTATCTATATATATATATATTTGCCCATGGTACCTTTCCAAGGATGTCCCCTTGGCTCAAGCAGTGCCTAGGTTCTGGCATTTGGGAGCGAATCATGCTGGGCATGCCCAATGGCTTTGGACTCAGTGGAACCTTGGTAAGAACAGTGCAGAGCAGCAGCTTCGCCTAATGCCCCTGTCGTCAAGGTTGCCGGCAAGGCAAACAGGGCGAGATCGGCTGCCCATGCAAGGACTCTTTCCATGCAGAAATATGCTTTGCAAAATTGACTATTGTTGCACTGTGAACAGGAAGAGCTTCCGACCATCTCAATGAGTCTGGAGGCGGGACATTGGTCAAACGTGAGGTGTTTCATCCATTTTTAGCTGATCCATACCGATTGGCCATGGCCACGCTGCTACGCCCGGCTCTTCCTCAGACTATGGCCACCTTCCGAATCTTGGGCCTGGACAGTGGGGCCGACATCATCGTCTGCATCCCTCCAAGTGCTTATGCCAGGATCCCGGCGCTTTGACCTCCGACCTTCTCTTCCCTGGTTTCGCTCAGCTTCTAAGGTCACACAAAGCAATAAATCCAAAGATTGGTGCGAGTTGGCCATTGTGAACGCTGGGGAGTTTGCGGCCTAATGATAGAATTTCTGCCAGTTGTTCAGTAGTTTTGCCCGGTTAATATTCGCACGGCACACGACGGTCAGCACAAGACCGCTTTTCAAGATTTGTGGGCTAATTGGCCTTTGTGACACTGCTTGCGACCGAGGCACCATACAATGTGGGGGTTGGAGGTGCACGATTTCATACGATTTCTTTTTCGAGCAAACAGACTGGCCATCTTCGCCGTCATAGAAAAGAAGGGAAAAACGGAACGCGATGAGAATGATAGGTCTAAAATGGTCTAAAGGTTAAATAAGAGAAAGACAAGCAAGAAAGAAACACAAGGTAAGGACGTAAGACCTTCAAACATTTCTATAAACAAGACCTTTCTTGTTTGTAGCAAGGTCCTTTGAAAGATCAGCCTCCCAACACAGCCGACGCTGACAGCTCAGGCAGTTGTACTTGGACTTCCTTTCTTCAGGCGGGTGGTCAGGTGGTGAGTGAGGCAATAACTGATCCATGGGATCAAGATTGTCAAATTTGATTTACACTAACCATCAGTCGTTTCTTCCTAGGTGGTTGGGGTCTACAACGTAGAGTTGATGGCTTCAGCGACAATTTTTTGTGCTTTGGGTACTTGGTCCCATATGGGACAAAAAAGACATCTCACGTCTCATGCTCAGTGTTGGACAGCTGCTGTTGTGCGGGTAGGTCTGCTAGTGTCGTCTTCGATGCTGGCAATCGCGTGGTTGGGGTGGAGCCTGTTCAAAGGAGGGGATGTGACGAAACCAGCTTATTGACTTGTTGTGTGACATTGAATGTTAAAGCCTTTTCAAGCATAATATGCTTAGTTGACGACATTTCTTTCAATAGCTTAGTTGACGCAGCCAGCTCTGGCAAGCTTCCTTTGAGTTTTCATCAGCCAAGCCTTATTCCTGAACATGGTGTGCATTGGTTGCACTTGGGAAGATACATGCGGACAATACTCCTACTGACACAACAAGTTCCTGGAGACTTGGAGTTTGTACATTTCTCCTTTCGGTGTGGCAAAACCTGAGTACATAAAATGACTACTATATAGTAGCAACAAGCTAGTAGGTTGGAGGCCATGCAACATGATTTCTACTTCCAGCGATGTCCAGGAGAGACTCCTCGAAGGCTAGGCGTTCGGTGGAAGCGGGGAGCGAAGTTGGCAGCCAGTTTGGGAACCAGTTTTTGCTTGTCTCCTCCTCCTCCTCCTCCTCTGCCAAACATATTATATGTTTTCGTGTTGACAAGAAAACGATAGCAAAACTTGAAGACCACTCACTTTTCCTCGAGGAAAGAAAAGGGCTTGCTACATGCCAATGCCACAACAGATCAAAACAGATCCTTTCAGCACAGAGAGTTGAGTGGTCACAGATGGACGGACTTGGAGGCCATGTGCAGTGACCCAAAGAACTGGTCTGCACCTGAAGGGAGGTCATGGGTGGCTGGTGGCTGTACGGAACGTTTCAATTAGGTCGCGTCAAAGGCCTGTCCCCATGGTCCCATGGAACAGTCCCTGACACGAAACGCGCGGCCGGGTATTTGGAGCTGAATTTTGCCAGGATGAACGCACGCTCTTGAAGCCAACAGCCAACAAAGTGAAACTCTGAAGAACTTGACATCAAAGAGTTTGACCGTGTCAGGTCATTCATTTTTTTGCATCTCTATAGTTAGTGCTGCTGGTCTTGTTTCGCGAGTGTTGTGGCGCTTGGATGAATTCAAGCTTGGATCTAGTGATCTAGTCCCTGAGGAGGGTTGAACTGAGTTGAACTTGGCTCAAACAAGACCGGATGGACTCCCTCCGTGGGCTCTTGGGCTTTTGCTGTTCATGCAATGGGCCAGCGCCTGAGCCAGAGATTGTACCAGTACAGAACGTCTTCAAGTTCAACCGATCACGGACTGAGTTGGCCGAAGATGTCGTTGAACCCTCGATGAATCTACATGGTTGGACACTCCGGGATGGACAGAAGCTGGTGATGCTTGAGATTGAGAAGGAACCTGGTAGCAAAGTGGGCTTGTCTTTGGAAGCGACCAATGATCAACAGGCCGTGCTGATCACTCAACTGGACAGCGATAGCTTGGTCGCCGAGTGGAACCGGGAGAGGCCTTTGAGAGCTGTAAAGGTCGGTGATGCTATCGTTGAAGTGAACAAGAAAAGAGGGACCTTCCAAGAGCTGTTGGATCTCATGAAGAAGGAAGATAAGTTGGAGCTTCTTGTCAAATGCTCCTGACATTGTTTTCAAGCGAGATGAATGTCAACTGTAGCCTGCAACAAGTGATAAATGTCACTAGATGGATCGGTGTTCTCGAGGCGGGCCTGGTGGCATCCCATGTCGCGAAGCGACGTGATCCTTTTGAACAGCTGTGAACCTGAGCCCAAGACTTTGAAGAATTTCAGAACTTCAATTGAACAACGCTTTGACCAACGGTGAACGGCTCAAGGTTTGCCCCGCACCTCGCAGACATCCGCTGCGCAACGCTTGCAGCATGTGTACAGTATGTGCCGAACAGACAGAGTCACATGGGATGCTCCAAAGCTTTTCATTGTGGAGCTCGGAACATCCATAGACATAACATAGCAAGGAGCCCCCCTGCTTTCGTTGGCAACTTGGGGGTCCCATAGAGAACATAGACTGAAACCATTTGAGTATAATCTTGGAAGCTACTAGGAACAAGTGCATCGCTACTAGTAACAAGTGCCTTACTAGTAGTAACAAGAAGCTAGTAGAAACAAGAATTAGAACTAGAATTAAATCGTTCACAGCGATATGTGGAAACGACCCTTTGCTCGGCTTCGGCCAGACATCCGGCTGAGGTGGTCCACTGGAAGGCGCTTCAGCCCAAAGCGAGTGGTGGTCGTAGATCGGCTGCACCAAAGAGGAAGGGCAGAAGGGAAGTACAGGAGTGAGTAGGAGTAGTTGGCAGCTGGAGGACAGTATTCGAGCTTCATGCTTGTTGCGAGCAAAGAGGTTTGGCTATGACAGGTTTTATGTTTGGTTTGCTGAGATTAGCGACGACAGACGTTTTTTCCTTGAGGCCTTGATGATTGTGACCATGGTGCGCCGGGAACGACCGGTGTGTTGGAGTGACAATCCAAGGACGTGGAATGTCAATCCACTGACTTCTACCTAGACTCGACCTAGTTTTTTGACTTTCATTTGCTTTCAAACAACATGCGTGGCAAAAAAGCATCAAGGTACATATCAAACTTGAAGACCGATGTAGTTGCAACCTTTCGGAGTGACAATTTCACTACCAGCATTGGGATCCAACCTTTGTTGCGGCTCAGAGGCTCATACCAACGTGTAGATTTGTTCATTTTCGGGGATAGCCGGGATGCGGCTGTCCGTCGGGACACGGCTTTATGAGAATGCACCATTCCGTCACAACGAATGGACGAAGTGGGTCGCGGTAAGCTGGAATGGCCTCCAACCTAAGAGCGATGGACTTGCGCAGATTAGCTCCTATGTCTTCGTGGGCTTCTCACAAAGCCGGACTGCGGAGCGGTTGAGGGCTTGGAACTCAGCCTTTCGAGGACTTGCTGCTTTGCAACACAGTACATGACAATACCCTAGTGTTAGAAGTCATTTTTAGTGCGGATTAGTCAACAACGTCCTTCATTCATGATTAAGTGCAGGTCGTCAACTCGTCAACGAATCCTGTCAGCTAACACGCAATTGTGCAGGTCTTCCAGAAGTTTCTGGCCTTGTATTTGCGTTTTTGCTTTGGGCACCAATGTTGGTTTCTCCGTTGGCCTCCTTGTGAACAGGAAGCAATTTCAAAAGATACTGAGTAGGGAGCCAGTTTTCTAATTCGCAAGGCGCTTTGAATTGTTCGCTTGACTTTGACGCACACGCTTCTGCTGGTTCGACTCCACCCTGGCTTGTTGTTGTCCTTGGTTTTGGCTAACAGTCTTTGTTGCTTTGTAGCATCACCAGGATGCCAGCCACCGGCACTTCTTGCCAAGTGACAACAAGTCAAACAGCCAAGCAGATCATCTACAGTATGTCCTCAGTAAAACCACTCAGGCAGAGGCCAGTTCTTCTACAGTACCACGTTCCCATTCCCCGAAAGGGAAACGCCTGCTTTAAGCGCTTTTGCTGACTGGATTATGAATCGATCCCTGAGGAGAACCGTTTTTTGAGCTGGTGAGTGGAGTGATTGGGATAGCTTGAATGGCAGTGCAGAAGAGAAGCAGATCAGATGTAGACTCAAATCATGGCAAATGGTTTTCCATTTAGTGGGAGGCCATAGCTAGTAGGTTGGAGGCCATCGCAACTAGGGACCCCATTGCTAGTAGGTTGGAGGCCATCGCCACTAGGGGGAGGCCATTGCTAGTAGGGTTGAAGCCATTGCTAGTAGTAACAAGAAATAACAAGAAGCTACTAGTAACCGTAGCTTCGCAGCTTGAAGCCCAGGCTTTGCTGGAAAGCCTCCTTGGGCCGACGTGGGGAGTCTGAGCAAACCCAGACTTCTATGGCATGCTCTTGTTTGGATCTGCCAACATCACCGGGTCACATAAATTATTTGGCGGGGGGAGTACTCCAATCCAACAAATCTACATTTCTTCGGTGTCCAGATTTCATTCGCAAGAGCTGTTTTTATGCATTGTTTTGTTTGTTGATGGCGTTTGATGATATGATGATTTGGATACATTTCCTTGACACAAGTATGCTTCCTGAGAGCGATTTCCTCTACTTTGCTTTCATACATTATTAGGAGAGTAAACTTTCTGAGATTTCCTGAGAATGGCCAGGATCGGCTTGACACATTCACCATGACACTAGGGCTGCTGGAGTTTCCTGGAAGGGCCTGTGGCATTGCAGACGCCCCACAGCCATACAAAGCAGCCAGGGCTACGCGGGTTCTCCCCACAAGATTTGCGGACAACACGATTCTGTGACATGCGAGTGAAAAGGTTCTGGGAAGAGGCCACATTGATTCAATTTGTGCCTTGCTAAATTTGTCGATCGCTTGGGATTGTATGCGGTAGAGGGGGCCGGAGAGCTGTTCGATCCAAACACAAGAGAGACCACTAAATCTCCAAATCCCAAATTCCCCCACAAGCCGATATTGATTGATTTGTGTAGCTGTAGAAACATTTGTATAAGAGCATGGTTAATCCAGATTAACTTGTGCATGATTTTATCCATATTGATCTGTGCTTCTAGAGTGCAACAGACAGAGGCTGCCAAATACAGGCACAAATCGTATCATGCTGATCATGCAGCAAAGGCATGGTGCGCATACATGTGGCCTTGAACCTGGACCAGTCTCTCCCCTCCTGTTTCACACATTGTGAGAGATCTCTGTTGACCCCGTCCCCCCTCCTGTTCGTACAATGCTGCCAATGCGTATGGTCCATATGCATACAATTCGAGCCTAGCTGTTCCCCCCACCTGTCAGACATATCCTGGAACCGGTGTTTTCAGAAACGGTGAGAGACGAAGAACAGTGTTTAGATTGAGACCACCTTTTTTCGCAAGTCAACCAACCTTCCTTTTTCGAACACACTTGTCGACACCTGTGCCCCTGTACCTGCATACATTAAGACAAGTGTATATTCCACCCCCACTCCCTCTTCCATGTGGCTTTCGATGTTTTCTTCGGACCATGCGCTACGCCGTTCTGAGGTTCTCAAGCCCGAGTCCAGGAGACGACAGGCCGTCGACCGGTCGGAGCGAGACCGTCGGAGCCCGTTCAATCGCCAGGCCCACCACGCAGTTCATGCAGATGGCAAACCGGCACCCGGAATGACGCTAAAAGATGATCTCTTTTTGGGGTCAGGTTGCAGATGGCTTGAGGGTGGAGAGTGCGTTTTGGCATGTTTTGGCAATGGGTTCGTGCACTGCTGCTCGTGGCGATGTTGTTACGCTTGGCTCAAAGTTGCTGAATGAGCACTTCGCATGCTGCCACCAAGTCCATGAGTCCATGAGTGCTTTAAGCCACTTTCATCATAAGGAGACACTTGTGATTACAAACATTGAACCAAGCCAGCCTGTTTGCCAGCGCTGGCAAGTGCCATGCTCGGATCTCGGGGTCACGCGCGAAGAAAACACTGCCCAATTGACGCTGGTACCTTCGCCTCGCTGCACATCCTGCGTACCACCCCTACCATCCCATAGGCTTCACTACACTGAAGCGGGGTGGTCTGGAACTGGTACACAATCACAATCAACCACTAGTCACCATTCTATATTAATAGGTTGATTGCTGGGTGTTAGGATATATAGATTTTGCCTTCAACGAGCGGAGAGTCAAGCTACGGCAGAGTGGAATGCATGGGATGCATGGCAGCTTGCTGCCCTGATCTCCATCCGTTTTCGCACGGACTCCATCCATCCATTGGCTTTCCGGTTCAGTCTCCCCAGTGGTTGGGCATTTTCTGGTTTCATCCCCGACACAGCAGCAAACACTTTTATTCACCAACTTGATTCTAGGCTCCAGTGCGCACACTGACATTCAAACGGCAAGGCAAAAAACAGAGAGCTCCTTCAATACTCCAGTATCTTTAGAGCAATATCTTGCGATTGATGTGATTCTCAATCTCGTCAAAGCCAGGCCGAGTTCTTGTTGGCCGTTGGTGTGTCTTTGTTGCACCTCAGGTCGCGCCACGCTTTTGGAACACCCTGGCATCAGGCAGGGCCGGGCCGCAGGGCTTTCGCTCATGGGGGCCATGTGGATGTCCATTTGACCTTGGGACACCTATTGCTCTGGTTGCTCTGGTTGTTCTGTATGGCATCCATGCAGAGTTGACAGGTGTATGGGCGGCCGCTACACCATGGCAACACCGCCGGGGAGGAGTGGGACAGTGATTGCGGACAGTGTTTCTTTGCCAAACATTTTCATACTAAGTACCAGACACAGGCAAGTGCGGCTCAAAACATATGCCGTCAGGGATCCGCAGGGTATTTTTGTTTCGTCTTGCCAATGGGTTGGCGTGGAAACCCCTGTGATTCAGTACGGGTTTCTGCAGGAGTTGTTGGGTCCCAGAATTCCTTACTGACGAAACCCATGTCAGCACGATGCCAGGCATATCCCAAGAAAGTAGTGCCCGGCGTTTTCAATGGTGTGCCAGGCCTGGACATGGATTTTTTTGGGCGGAATTTGAGGTTCCAGCAAAGCCTAAACCATGAGCCGCAACAGTAGTCCAGCTCAGTGCAGAAAGGCTTCAGCATGTTCTATCGCAGCATCTCACCTTCATGTGACAGACATTCAATGGGCCACCTTGACATAATTATCTTTGCATGGTGGCCTCATCCCAGAACCTTTTGAGGTTACCTTGCTCATTCTTGTCTGTAGTTCAAAACTGGCAAACCCAGAAGACGTGCCTAGAGTGCCACCTAGTGTGGAGCTCCATGTGATTATGATGAACTGCAAACTACAATGTCAACTTCAAACTTCAAACTATATAATCATACAAGAAGAGCATGAGTTGACATCAACGACTTGCTGCAATTTGCCAAGGTGATGTTCCGTATGAGAAGAAGCTCTGGTACATTCGTGACACTGCCAGCAGCCCTGGTTGGGATGGGTCAGCTTCGATGATTTTAGCTTGACTCCTGCGTGACTCCTGCGGGTCAGGGCGACTTTGCTGGGAGTTCGAGCCTCCGTTGCCGCGGCCGGGAGAGTGGTGAATGCAGTTTCAAGGTCGGCGGGCAGGGGCCGGCAGGTGTGTTTTTGGTGGAAGTCTCTGGTGGATGTCCATGTTTACCTCTTCTGTTTCCATGTCTACCACCATGTAGCTAGAATGCCAATGCATTCACTTCATGCCCTGTGAGGTTGATTGAAGTCTATCAAGGTTGAGGAAGTTGCAGATGACAACTGGGCAGAAGACGAAGGTCTTTCAACCTTCAACTACATGCTATTTTGGCTCTCGTCCTAACCTAAAGTCCTAAAGAGATTTCTTGCTGTACCTTGAGTTGTAGATATTGTTAATGAACAGGACAAGGTGACTGAAGACAATGAGAGCGTATTCCATCCATCTCCATCGCCGTCCATCGCCAGTCCACTGCAAACTCGATTGGCTTTCCTTCGCCTGCTTCGCCTGGAGACGTGGTCTCAGCAGTCAATTCTGAAAAGCATTCTCATCAAAGAAACTGCAACTCTTTTTCGCTTTTTGCAATCGTTTTCGAGGCCATGACCTGCAAAGGAATGATGTTCTCCCATTTCCTTCGCACTCCTTTTGCTTGGTTATATCCTGTGACCCAAGCCAAGGTGCTGTCACCCTCTGCGAGCGCACCAAATCTAGCCGCTCCTCAGGTTTGTCCAACTAAATGCAGATACACATGAACACTGGGTGCCACTTCTTTGAGCACACAGAACAACAACCAATTGAGAAGAACACAACCCCATGTCCAGCAGTCTGAAGGAAAAGGGTTTCGTTTCTTTGAGCGGCATGGGCCTGGAAGGCTCATGAGCTTTGACGTTTCCCAAGAACGGCGCAAGGATGCAGAGGAGCTGCATACCTTTAGAGTTCTTTCAAAAGGGAAGGAGATCAGAACGCAACGTGCTGAAGATTCTTCACGGTCTGGTTGGTCGCTGAGGCGCGTGAGCGGCCTCCGAGTCCGTCAAGCGGCCTTGGAGGCCGGGAGCCGCGAGGCCGGGCCACTCAACAGTGAGCTGAAAAGAGTCGTGTGAAGTCTGAGGCGTTATCTCTTCAGTCTTCTTGTTAGTTCTTTCCGACCGTTATATTTGAAGTGAAGGTGAAGGCATTTTAGCCTGTTTTGCTTGACTTGGTGGTGCTTTTCTCATGGGATCATAGCATGGTTTCGTTGCAAAAGAAACACACTTTAGCTTCGATGGGTGGCTGACAGTGTACTCTTCCTGAGTTCCAAGCACCCTGACAACCAATCTGCCTCTCAGAGCTGAACTTTCTTTTTATCGCTTGTATATTTCTGGTCCTTGTCTTGGACTGCCGCATGCCCTTCATTGCCCTTCATTAATTTCATATTGACCGCGTGCATGTGGAGGAATCGAAAATTCACACGCCTTGCTCCATTACGGGCGGCAACGTGTCGCGCCAGCCGGGAGCTCGGTGAAGGTTTTTCAAACGCGGAAAGCATGACTTTACACGTCCTTGGAGAATCTGGGCAGCTCTATTCTACTCTATATAATTCAAGGTTTGGCTGGGGAGTGGATGATGATTCAATCGGCAACCTTATGGCAGACTAGGAATGTTTTACAGGGTGTCGGTGTGGAATTAATGCCATTTGGCCATTCGCAAAAGCAAAAGAACTCGAGGAATGTGTCAGACTGGTGCCTGGGCTGTGGTCCCAAGGTTGCTTTGCATTAGGGGCGTATCCTGCTCTCATGTTTCCACCAATCAAGACCACTTACGATATGCCTGGCTGCAGTCGCTTCCTTTAGATTGACAGTGACGTACCCGGATACGCTCCAAGTATCTCCAAGTATGTTTAAGTAGCTTCCTTGCTACTAGTAGAAATGCCCTTTGCTCCTAGTAGCTTTTTGCTCCTAGTCGTATGGCCAGGAGCCCCTAGTAGCGTCCTCAAGTATGTTTAAGTGCTACGCTTTTAAATTAAGGACCCATCTCTCTTTGCGTCTCCAAGGAGACCCTGCGGACAGCTGGTCTGTCCACCTTCTTGATGCGAAGGTATCAGGAGAAGCACCCAGGTTTGAGAGATGGCAACAGCACGGAAATCATGGTCTCACCTTCCAGGTCATTAACAGCCTGTGCAATGGATACTGGTCGAAATGCTTGACTCCGTTGGACGAACCGGCATTAGTTGGAAAGTATGCTAGCGATGGCCTCCAACCTACTAGCGATGTCCTTGGTATTTTTTTTCCTTCGTGTTGTGCCGCTTTCTTTTGGATGGAACGGCACCGCAGCCGCGAATGGAGGAGACCACCAGCGCACTGGCATACCTCTGACATGAAAGGCGCTACAACTGGAAGCATAAAAAGGTTTGAATCCAGGTGTCCGGTTTTGTTTGAGCTTACAAATAAGTTCTGTAGGCATGGATACAGATGTGAAGTAAGCTCATATAATTACAGTATAATACCCCTGGGAATAAACCCTATAGAATGGGGGAGGTCGAGCTCCAAAATGACCTAGCATTTTATAGAGATTTTCTATAGAATCAAAAGTCAACCTACCTGAAAAAGATCCATTCTGAGGATATCTGAGGTGAGAGAATCATATGTTGATGGATCACTAGGTTGAGCACCTTCATTCTATAGAGAATATATGAAAATTGAGGGCATTTTATAGAGGACAGAGGTTTTGATTCTATAGAGAGAACCTGGAGCAGTAGAAGGTTGAGAGTTTATTTTAGCGTGGATGGATGTTTTACAGTGAGGTAGGTTGGATTCTCATTCTATAGAAAGCACTTGAATTTGTGGAGTCTTGAGTTTTGAGTTTATAGTCTCAGAACCTTCGAAAAGTAGAAGGTTGAGAGTTTATTTTAGAGTGGATGGATGTTTTACAGTGAGGTAGGTTGGATTCTGATTCTATAGAAAGCACTTGAATTTGTGGAGTTTGCAATGAAAAATAAACATGAAATCCTAACCTTGCAATGTTCAATCATGTTTCTATAAAATAGAATACCAACCTCTCTTGCCATTGCTGCCTAATTTTCCTCGAAAATGGTATACTCAGCCTTGCAGTGTCCACCGACTTGTCTATAGAATGAGGACCGACCCTGGCTGTTTCCCCCACTTCTCTATAGAATGAAAACCAACCCTGGCTGTTTCAATTAGATAATTCAGATTTTGAGCCTACAATTCTGTTACATTAGTGCCTTCATGGTTGACCCCCTTTATTCTATAGAGAAACTATGCCGTACACTACAAGGGTTGACAGCTAGATTCTATAGTGGGGCACTTTGCTACCAGAGGTTGGTAGACCGGTTTATCACTATAGAATGGCGTTCTCAACCCCCACGCGTTGTAGCAAGGGGTATACAGTATATATATATATATATACACTGAGAGCTGAAAAGCCTCGTACACTCCCAGCCAAGCACAGGCACTGCCGATTTCACCGACCTGACGCTGCTCAATTCGGGCACAGCTGACCGACCGTGCATTTGGTAGCAAAAGGATGCGAAAAGGGGGAATCGGTGTATTGGTGGTCAAGTCATGTCAGGCCAACACGGTCTGCCATGTAAGGGGCAAGCTCTTCCCAGCCTTTGATTGGGAGTCCTGCATCCGAATATCGCTGGGCTCAAGTTGACACGTCATTCTGGTGGCGTGCTCAGTAGCTAGCTGGTGGCTTGTGGGTTGCTTTACGTTGGCTGCAGAGATGCTGAGCGGGGATCTCAAGCAAAGTAGACTAAAGAACTGTGAAGAACTGGGAACTGTGCAGTTGGGACGCAAGTACATCCGAAGGACTAGCAGCTTTAGAAGATATGCAAGAGCAGTTGTGTTGTGTTCATTGCTCGTTCACATCAAACGTTCATAGAATGCATAACCAGTGCATCATGAATACTTACTCTACAGTGACAAAGGTTGTTTGATCAAGAATGCAGATGGATCGGACTCTATACAAAGTTTCTGTTCCCTTTGCGCAGAGTTTTGCCTTTGCTGAGTTGCTGAAGCCGTGCAATCCACAGCGAATTCCTTCCAAATATCCAGCATGATTTAGCTGAGCCAGGCCAAGACTGAGACATCAGATGTACGGGACCTCGGTCTGGGAATCTCCAGGCTCCTCTTCGGCAGCGGATTTCTTATTTAGCCGACCGCAAGATCAGGAGGCGAGGCACTTTCGACCTGGCCACCGGCCTGCGGATTAACATGGAAGCAACGCAGTAAATATATGTCATGGGTGAGCCCGAAACCTCTATGGAGATTAGATTGATTATCTGGCCTGACATGCTTCTGTTACTGCTTAGTTGGTGCACTGGTTGCTTCGCCACTTCGCCAGGTGGCCCTCTTGAAGCGTGATCATCCAACTCATCCGACGCAGGCTCGCAGAATTCTAGCAAAGACTATTATTGCCAGCATGGAGTAAGGACGCTAAAGTCAGGCAAATGTTCACGGTTGACCCGTTTTAATCCTTTCCAGTATGCAGTAACAGTATACCTGCATATCCATGAATAGATTCCATTTCTCTAGCTTCATCTCCATTATGCCTGGCCAAGTTCCTGGAAGATCCGGCGGACTCACTGAAGGCAGGGTACCCCCGTTTTTTCTCCGGGTGCAGTCTGTAGTTCTCGGTACCGCTTCTCGTTTCAGCATTAGATAGCATTAGCACAACTTGCCAAAACCTTGCATTTTCTTGTATTACATCGTGCTTGAAGAGCGATTTCTGTCGGCATTCCAGTGGGTTGCCGGGTTGCCTGCACGCACTAGTTGGGCATAGAGCAGCTATTGGTGCTTCGTCCTAGACAGACTTCGAACGCCACCACAACCACCATGTGAACATTGGTTGGTGAACAATGGTTAGAAAGGTATGTCTGAGCACCAGGAGGTATGTTCGTGAACAATGGCACGAGCGAAAAAGAGATGCTTCCACTAATCCCCCACGGTTCAAATGACGAAGCCACTAATCCCAGGAAGACAAATATATTTATCATTAAGATATTTGTCAATACTAACCCCAGTCCACGATTGATTACAAAGATCGACGTCGATCCCAGGACTGGCGAGAAAAGCTCCGTACTCAACCTTCAGAGTCATGATCTTAGCTGATTTTTGCTTTATATAGTCACCGATTTGCACTCCGCGAGTTGATGCGAGGTGTGAACCATTGATATATATATATATATGTATATATTCTATGAATGTATCTCTCTCTATATGTATATATGTATATCGTCATTATATTGACAACAAATGGTTAATTTACATCAGTTTCTGCATAGCATAGTTGCTTGCATGGGTCATCATAGGTGTCATTCGGAGTCATATGGCGTGATTTCACCCTAAGCGATCTCCCTACACAAATGGCTCTTTTGTGCAATGACAGCCTTTGCAGCGTTTGCTGCTTTTGTCATTGACTGCCAGGATTCAGGTTCAAGAATCTGGCATCCTGCCGCATGCGTTTGGGGAACACTGGGGGATCTTGAAGGCGCTGAAGCTGACGGGGTTCATTGTCTCAGGAATGTGAATCTCAAACCCATTCTCTAGACACTTGCAGTGTGACCCAGTCCTAGATTCTATCCATTTTTGATGCATGCAGCTTCATGCAAGTGTTCATTCCCCTTTGGCCCACCGAAGAAAGCTGAACACTAATGCAGTGCGATGTGAGACCTGGAGGGAATCACTTTCTTGTTCGAACTCAAACGCATTTGTGCAATGTGAATGTCTCAGACACCAAACACCATGGCAGCAGCAATAATCCTGCTTGTCGTGTTTCTGTTTGGGGCTGGAACTTGAACTGCGCTTTAGGTTCACCACATGTTTCAATGACTGCCATGGCAAGGCTTTGAAGACAACGGTGCTTCTCACTGGCGGATTGTGCTCGAAGCTCTTTGGCATTGGCCTCATGGGCTACCTGGCCTTCCAGTCCATGCAGGTAGCGGACAGTTGACAGGGTTTCTTGCACGATCACAGAAATGAGTGGATTTCTCCTTTGTTACGCCGATTGGCTAACGGTTTGGAGACGTCACTTTGAGAGACCTGAGGAGGTGGCACACTGCTCACAAGTGCTCACAAGTGCTCACAGGCCAACGTTTCCCGAAGCCGACAAGAGCAGGTGCAAGGCATGTGATCAGATGGAGATTTGTGCAGATCCAATAAGCCAGCCACAAGGCAACAGGTGCTTGTAGGACAGAATTCAGGACCCAGGACCTAAGCCTAGGATCTGAATCAGCAAAGCCTCAAGTCTGAAATTTCAGTCACTTCCATTTGATGTTCGTGTCACTTTGCATTTGGATGTCTCCTACAGTACTGTAAATATTCTCTGAAGCCTTCACAAAGTCATGCTGCGGATGGCCCCTCTTTGCCACAGGCCAGTATCCTTACAATTCCTATGGCCGAAGACAGGACAGCAGTCAATGCTAAGCACACATCCAGCCTGAAAGCCGCAGAGTTCAGTGATTGCAATTCGATCGTTTGTGCCGTGCCTGTGCCCATGTCCCTGCGCCTCCCGCAGCTGTACTGTATCAACATGACTTGCCACGCTTTGCGATGAACATCATGGAGTGGACAGCATGAACCTGCGAACCAACTCCAACGCCTCCTCCCTACGGGTAGGTGTCGAGTCAAGTCAGGCCGGCTCGAAAAGATGTCTCACCTTACATTTAGAGAAGTTGTGGGTGGCACTTCTGTATGGTCATCCAAATGAGCCCTGTGTGGCACTAACATGGCCGCATCCTCAAGCGCTGCTAACTCGTCAATCCATGGCATGGGAAGACACATTCAGCTATGGCGGTCACAGCCCAGTACCGGCTACTCAGCATTCCATTGCTTTCAAGAGCTTCATGCCTTGTTTGCAGCTTTGAGACCTGTAATGCATTTCTGTCGTTGGCTTGTAGGACACGTTGTTTTGTAAAGACACCCCTCCCAGAAGCTCCTTTGAGGCGTCGAGGGTCAGGGTCGAGCTGAGGTGTGGAGCTGGGTGCCGTTGAGCTGGGCACCCGATAGGAGCGGTCAAGGCATTGCCAGAGGAGTGGGTTATTTTATTATTGTCATAAACGGGTGGTTGCTGAGGATGTTTTTCGTATGATTTGGGTGGTCTTGGCAACTGCTTGGGTAGGAGTTTTTTCAAGCCATGAACATCAATTGAAGTAATGACCCTCAAACTCTAGCACTTGACTTTATGTGTGTGCAATGACACTCCCTAATTAGGAGAGATGCCAAGTGCGAGATGGCACCTTCGTCCAATCTATATAAGTTCATTTCTTTCGGACAATCACAGCAATTCACTGCAGCGAACTCCAGAGGTATCAGATGAGCAATTCCCATTGAACCATATCACTTATCACTCTCCAAGGTGTGGTTGCCACTTGTGCCAGGAACCTAGACGGAAGGAACTTGTCCTTGGAGGTATATAACTGCCAAAGTGCACTCATCATTGTGGATAGATTGCTGATGGTCGGATATGGTCGGATTCCACATGGCTTGCGAGACCACAAGAAAAGCTCCAGTAGCCCGCAAGGAAGGCTTGCACATGCTTAAGCTTTATGTCCACAGTCTCCGGTTTTCAGGCGCTGTTCCTTTCGGTTCCTGCTGCACAGCCGGCAGACACGATCAATCCACCTCCAGCTTAGGGCTTACAGAAATGATTGTTGGCCTTGCTGCTCTGAAAGACTCTTCCTTTCTATGATGACAACATTAGATGCAAGGATTTTTATTGTTTGAATTGATGAGCAATTGATAGTAATTGCTTGTTCCGCTGGAGGGTTCAAGCCAGAGTGCCTAGGTGATTGGCGTACCTGGACATACTGAGTCCTGGATTGATGAGCATGTCTATTTGCATCAACATGATGATGTGGTGGAGAATGACTCGAAAAGAAGACGGATGCAAGAGGACAGGGTCGCCCCGTGGGTTGTCTCTCTCTCTCTCTCAACCATGGGAATCATGCAAACATATGGAACCTTAAGCCTTAGACCTTGGAAAGAAGTAAAACCCCTGAACCAGATGTTGTGACGGCTTTCTCTTCGGAGACACACTCAAGATCACACAAGCGACCCAGTAGCACACGCTTTTTCAGGATGGCACTGGCTGGGTGCTCCCTCACTTGGTGGTGCCGCCCTGAGATCTCTGACCTGGGATCTCCAAAAGAACCCTGCAAAATTGATCAACATGTATAGAAGAGCATTGTAAGAGGGGAAGAACCGTGCTTGCTTCTTTTCTTGGGTGCGCGCTCTCTCTCTCTCTCTCTCTTTTTTTCTGGCCTTCTGAGAGTAAGTCTTCTGAAGATCTTTCGGGGCCGAGGATCGAATTCCACCGCCACCGATCAAGTACATCCCGGGAACGGGTGCTGTCATTGCCCGAGTCTATATCATGTTTGAGGCCATAGATGGGTTGAAAGCAGGTAGCTAATTGTAGCTGAGTAGCTGGAGTTTTGAAGCTCTGAAGACTGCCCTTCCAGTATCCTTGTTGGCCAGGTGCGCACAAATGATTGGCATTACATGAAGAAGCGCCTGAGCAACAGATTGGCAGCCTTTTTGGACACACCGCCCTGTTTCGGACCTCTCCACTCCACTCCACAAACACACACACACACCATCACGCACCATGCTCTATTTTTTCTTGACGGAAAAAGGATTAACAAGGATGACCTCTCGCCGAGCTCCCGTGTTGGGTTCAGCCTTTGAAGAACAATCCCGATGATCTTTTGTAATCGGATGCAGCGGATGCGGCAGATGCGCCTGCCGATGCCAGGGAGTCTCACCGTTGTACGTTGATTTGGAGCAAGTGGTGCCCATCGTTGTGGGTGAGCGGTGCATCCCAGGAGCACGAGACCCAGGAGCGAGCATGCACTGCACGGCATGTTCTTTCCAATCCACATGCTCAAAGAGGTCCAGGTCGAATCTGGTCACTTGTGGAATTAGAATTGAGTTTAATTCGCTACTAGGAACAAGTGCATTGCTACTAGGAGCAAGGGCCTTACTAGTAGTAACAATCTTTGCTATTAGAATTAAGAAGCTATTAGAATTCGATTTAGCACTGGCACATTTCTCCAAACTGTACTGGTCCAGCAGAGATGCGAGATGCCGTTAAACATCATGAAACATGATATGGCTGGCTGGCTGAGGTCCTTCTTTGCAGAGACCTTCAACGCAATGTTTATTTGCGTGCACCTGGCCTTGGGGGCGCTTCGATGGACGGGTGCGGCACCAGATCTCACTCACTGACTGTACTAGACTCACACAGGTGTGACTTCATGATTCATTGCAAGGCACTGTCAGATTTTCTTCAAAACCGCACCAGTGTGATGCCAGTAATGATTCTAGAAAGCTTTGTGGCGGATGATACGCACGGAAGTTTGCGCGTCTCGTGCACCAGGGATCTCTACAACACAGAGCCTCGGCTGGGGCCTCGGCTTGGAGACACTGAAGACATTCTTCCTTGTTCCTAGTAGCTTCTTGTTACTAGTAGCAAGAATGCTCCTAGTAGCGATGCCAGGAGCCCCTAGTAGCGCCCTTGCTCCTAGTAGTAAGGCCAGGAGCCCCTAGTAGCTTCTTGTTGCTAGTAGTAAGGCCAGGAGCTACTAGCAGCTTCTTGCTCCGTTCGTAGCGATGCCCTTTGTTCCTAGTAGCTTCTTGTTGTGAGTCGCAGCATTCCCTGTTGCAGCAACATTGTATCAGGCATTGTAGAGGAGCAGATGCCAGCAAGTCTGGATCTGCCAACTGGGATTCAGTGCAAGGCATGCCCAGTACCAGGTTCTTGTCAGGCAGTGAAGGTTCTGCTCAAGAGTTTGGAAGAGTTACTGGCAATTCCATGAAACATCAGCAAATCAAGCATGATGGCATCCAGTGCACAACATCATGGTCTTTCATCCTGCTATCTTGATGGTGCACAAACATCTTTGGTGACCCTTTGTCCATCTTTGTCCTTCCCATTGCACGCCAGCTCTGGTTGGCTCTGACTTCAATCCCCGCACCACCGGCGCATTTTGTAATTGGTTTTGATAAAAGTGCTTCGTTGCATTTTTGCTTGGGATCATTTTAAAGATGTTTATCTCAGATTTACTCTCGACTCTTAACTCTCTGTTTGCCAGAATGGAGAGATGATCTAGATCTCTTGGAGAAGGTCTGGGAGGACTCCTCCATCTCATTCTGTCAGAGTTGTGACAGAGAGGACGCTTCCCGAGCATTTTTCAGGACGATTTCTGTGTCTCACAGTTAAATACCTCCTTGATGCTTTTCCCAACACCGATCAACAACACGTACGCCTGAGACTCAGCTCTGGTAGGCTTTTGGATGTTTTGGAGATGCAGATTGTCCACGATGTGACACTCCTGATGACTTAGATCACTGGCTGGCGCTACGACAGCAAACGAAGAACCACAGGGAATCTGGTGGTAGCTGGGAACCAGGCAGCAAACATCTTCATTGTTTTCTCTGCCGTGGCACTTGCGGCACTTGCGAGAATCATTCTGACACGCAGAGAAAAACAATAGAGCCATTCTTGAGACTATATATTAATATATGTCATTTGAGTCATGCTTGCCCACGTTTGTGAAGAGCTGAAGGAGCGGGGTGTTCCGCTTGAGCTGCACATTGTCGGAGTTCCAGACTTAGCATGTTCTACACACACTCTACATGTGAAGCTGCATTTGTTTTTGCATGTGCAAAGCTGGGCCCCCCTTCTTTATCAAAAGCAGCTCATTTGGTGGGGTCTCAATATGGATCCTTGACAGAGTTTTTTTCCTTTTGCTTCCCCCGCAGTAGGTACCTGCATCACTTTTCCTTTACGTTCGTATTTGCCTTCCCCATAAATCCTACTTGGTTGATGATTCGATGTGCTGATTTTCCTTTTGACTGCCACTTGTCTTCCTTCAGAACCATTTGCCAGGTGACAGGCTCAGCTGAACACCAGGGCCTTTCAATTATGTGGAACCAAATTCGAACCCTTCTCCTTTTCATGAAGGGGATTGTTTTCACTTGTCAAGCTTTTCCCTAACAGCAAAGCTTGGGGGTCTTCAGCCGTAAAGGCTTCAGAGCAGGTTCTGCCGCAGTTCCGTAGCAAGCTCCGTCCCCCGAGCACCCTTGCGCATATGCTCTGATGGCGTTGTCATGACGTCATGCTGACTCGTCATCATGCTGGCATGTTGTCATGACATGATGTCATGTCGTCAGGCTACCATGCTTGTAAGGTGTACGCTGTCATGCCGAGACTCTCAGCTGTGTCACTCTGTCATGCTAAGTTGGTGGCTTTTGCGGACATTGCTAACATGTTGTCATGCTGACATGCTGAGGGCCAAAGGTGTTGTCACATCGATATGCTGACATGGTGTCATGACAGTGTGTTGTATGTAATGCCGTCGTGCGGACGTGTAGGCACATTCACATATCGTCATGCTAAGATGCTGGCATGGTGTCACGTTGGCATGTTGTCAGGTTGTCATGCTGACGTGCTGTCATGCTGACACGCTCACATGGCCCACACTAATATGCTGACATGACATGTTGTCGCGCGTCATGCTGATATGCTGGCAGGCTCCAGCGCGGATCCGGAGCAGACTTCCGGTTCTTGGCTTGTTACAACGTTGTCATGCTTGCAAATATATTGGCACATGTGCTATGCCAACATATTGCCGGGTTGTGATGCTCGCATGGCACGCTGACAAGGCTCACATGTTTCAAGACAGCGTTGTCCGGCCAAGAAGCAACGCCTGTTGGTGAACATGCGATGTTGCCATTACCTAATACGCAGGTTCATGATCAAGTGGGGAATTTTTCGGCGCTGATCCACATGTTTCGGCTCTGGCACGCTGTTTGTTTTGCCATACGCGTGCTCCTGAAGCAGGGTTTGTTCCTAGGTGATCCCCACTAAGTGGGCGAGATACTTCAATGCAAAGTTCATCCTCAACGGAGCCTTGGACCTTTTCGACATCAATCTCCCACCGAGGGGAACGGGCGATCAACGGAGCCTTACACTGTTGGATACACAAAAGTGTGGCTCCGTTGATGATTTGACGGAGCCCTTCTTGTGGTTTCCCACAGCAACGGAGCCCACCGCACCCAAACACGGTTTTCCACCCTGTTGCGCCCGTCACCTATGTGAGGCTCTTGGTACTGTAAGTAAAATGAAAAGTGGCACATAGCATGGTGATTCGTGGGCATGATAACTGAAGGCAAGTGAACATCATTCAACACTTTTCGATGTACTGTACCACAACAAGATAGAATGTATCATCTGAGACCTACACTCTGGCTTTCGTGTCTCCCAAATTCTGGAGTCAAATTTCTGATTTTTTGGAAATGGCCATGAGTCACCCAGGAAGCATTCCCCTTCCGCTCTATCAGCCCGAAGTGGTCGACACCACAGCGCTCCTTGTCATTGGACATCAAACACCACTTGAGTAGAGAGAGGCTGCAGGAGGACTCATTGTTGATGGGGGACTGCCATTGCTGGTAATTGTAATGTTTAAGACCACGGCTTTATTTGTGAACCGATCATGGACGTGGTTCGGACCTGGTCTCCGGGCCGTAAAGCCTCAGCACTTCAGCACTTTTTTCCTCTGACGATCTAATTAGTTTTCAGCCTTTTGTTGCTCAAAGAGATCATACTTCCTTGGGTGAACTGCTGCTTCCCACAGCGAAGTGAAGCTCAGGGTATTTACCGATGAGCTGAACGTAACCCTCGGGATTTTCGGAGTTCGCCAGAAGGAAGGTGGCATTAGGGCTCGGACACCCAGCACATTGGCACAGGGTCAGCGGTGATTTCAATGCAAGTTGAACGACCAACAAAGTCTTTTCAGTTGAGCGACTCGAATGACCAACATATTTGTCAAGCGGTGCTTTCAGCGGCAGACATTCACACATGTTATTCCAACATCCAATCAGATGATTGAACTGAGCAGAGATTGACATTATGTGAAGTTTCTCCCAGCCGCATGTCTGAACCCTTGCAGATGGGTATTCTGGACTACCTTCCAGTGTGCCTTGATCCTCCAGTGGAGGCCTGAAGATTCAACAGTGAATCGAACATGGAGGAAAATTGGAACAGACCACTTGACCAACAGTAGATTTCTAAGCTGCCGACCATTTGAATCCATTTGACCCATCCTATCATCACACACATTTTTTTGTTAGCCCACTTCTATGATTTTCTTTCACTTTCGAGATGCCATTTGGGGGAATCAGCTTCGCAGGCCCGCGGATGCTTCAGGAGCCCAACGCACGACAGAGATGTGATGCAGAAAGACGGTGCCCTATGAGATTATTAGCGCATCTAGAAAACATGCCTCGAGCAGTCCAGCTTCCAGGCGATTCAATCACGATTACTATGGGCTGTCAGATCCTTGAGCAACTTTCTGGTACAGTAGGTTCACAAAACTGTCCCGTGGTTAGACTGTTTGACAGTGTTCAGTGTTCGCTCCCAACAAGTCAATAGAAGGCACTTTTTGGGCATTTTTCTGTTGATTGATTTCATTGGTTGGGTAGTTGTGTCCGAACATATGCATGGATGCATGCTCAAGTGTTCTCATTTGCCACTTATATAGAAGCGGACCCATATGTGGCTTAGTTTATCCTGACCACTTTGCCAGAGCTGCCAAGACGCCAGGATTGATCACAAGATCTATGATGACAATCTTTGGAACGAGTGACCTTTTAGAAAGGATGACCATGTGAACCGCAAGCACAAAACAGGCGTTTTAAGCCTCGAGTAACTTGCCTCAGGAGGGGGTTGTGAACACAATCATTCACCAATGAAACAGGCCACGGCGTACTTTAGCTGCCTTCAGGGATCAAAAAACACCTCTCAGCAGATTTGTGTGAATGCTTGAAGGCCAATAAGTTCAATTTCAGGTACAACTTCAAGAACGCAATTCTTTGGCAAAGGGATCGTGTCTTGGAGGCGCATCGTGAAGCCAAACTCTGCTGGGTCGAGTCTTGCTCCTAGTAGCGATGCCAGGAGCCCCTAGTAGCGTCCTTGCTCCTAGTAGTAAGGCCAGGAGCTTGTAGTAGCTTCTTTATGCCCAGGAGGTTGCTTCTCTCTGTTTGTTTCTACAAGCCTCGCAGGGGCTCAGCGAGTACAACTATCCCTTTGGCGACTGGAATGCCACCGAGGGGCCCTGGCCTTCCTACGACTGGTGCGCCATCCCGCCAGATGATTGGGGTACCGGGTTTTGAGCCACGATCAGATGTGGAGTTGTCATTCCATGGTCCTGGCTGCGCCCTCCATCAACTGGCAGATGCATATATATATATTTTTTAATCATGTGTATACAGTGTATACACAAGATTATCAAATTTGGGTCCCAAAGCTATACCCTCAATGACATGCCAGTACAACGTTCCAAATGAGTCGCTTTGCTTTCAAGCAAAGCAGCGATTCGGATGCTTTGATTGTCTGAGTGATACTTGTTCCATGATTCACATTTGGAGAGGTATGGCCTCAGAATGGTTCCTGAGGAGTGCTTGATGTTGCTGCAATCCACTGATGCATTGAGTGGAAAAGAACATTTATGCGTTGATGGCGAGGACCCAGGAGTGAGATACCTGGGCCCATGGGCACAATACACCTTTCCACAAAAGGAGTATAGCTTGGATCAGCAGGCCAGACAGTTCTTCTGGCTTAAATCACAAAAGCGATCTCCGAAGGAGGTCAGCTGAAGTTCTAGTTTGGTGTGGAAAGGTTGCTGATGTGGATTGGTCATTCAGCCTTTCTTGCAGTCCTTCTGCCAAACCGGCTCCAACTGCTCAGAGATTCCGGTGGCACCGTCAAGCGGCCTTGCTTGGGGGGATTGGGATGGGGTGACTGAAATCGACTCTTCACGGGACATGATCGACTCTTCACGGGACATTTCTGTTTTCTGTTTTTTTTTGTGTGTTTTTGAGGGGTCTGTCTTCATATTTGCAGAGTGTTTTAATTTTTCTTCAGTTCTGTCTGCGGTTCTTTGCAGTTCTGTCTTCGACACCAACTTGCTTCCGCGTAAAAAGCACGACAGGTCTCCCAGATACTTGCACACTGCCGTGTTGCAGGGAGCCTCAACTAGCAACATCACTTGTGAGTTGCTACAGTCGAGTGCAGAAGACACATCAAAACGTTGTTTCAGCATGCTTCTTGAGATGATCGATAGTTCGTTACTTGTTTTTGTTTTCGCGTAACTGTACTTTGAAGCGGACCTAGGTACTACACATGGAATTTCTGGCAGCATGCCCATCCGTGAGCCCCACAGCACCGCTTTGTTACTCCTGCAACTGGACGTCCAGCAGGTACTTGTGCGATGGCAAGCCTGAATGTGGCCGAGACCTTGGGAGCACGCTCTTGGCATCTCTTGGCTATTTTGAGAGTCTCAGAGCCGCAAGAGACTCTGCAAGACAAACGTTTTCCTGTATTTCCTGTATTCTGTGTCCCTGAAAGGTGATGACTGCTTGGCCAATCTGACTTGCTGTGCCCTCAGATGTGGGACATGGGGATGCCCCGAATCGCTCGCAACGTACGGTACAATCGAATCAGGTCTAGACACCTCACCGTAGACACCTCACTCTTCAGGTCTTGGCGGTGTGAGCTACTTCCAGAGCAGCTTCTACTTCCGCTCAAGTACCTTTGAGTGCGGAGCTCATCGCTGTTTGAAGTGAGATCAGAAGCAGTTTATTTTTTTTTCAATTCCTCCTCGCGAAACTTGCTTGCTGTTTTGCAGTTAGGGAAGTCAGGCTCAATTCCTGCGTCTACAGGTTCAAACCAAATTGGATTCGAGTTTAGTCGCTATCATCAACCACACAGCCCCAGCCAGCGGTGACTCCAACCAGCAACATTAGCTATTAGCTACATGTATAACTCCGCTCAGCGAGCACATTTGTTGCTTATCTTTTTTTTGGCACCATGCTCCAGTTGGTCAGAGCCATGGCCAGCTTGACATGAACATATTTGCTTTTCTTCTCTTGTACATCCTTTCACTCTCCACTTGTATTGGTTCCCCAGGGCGTATCTTTGATTGTGCTGGTGATCCAGGATGGTCCTTTTTCCAGAAGTCGCTCCATGCTGCAACTGCTGGTGGCGTACTGAAACTGGATCTTCAATTGGTGGAAGATGCCCAGGCGATGGTCTACCAATTAGAGGCCAGTCCTGGAGCCCTTATGCAGGGTGCCCAAATCTTCTACGAGGACCTTTGCTCTCAAGAAAGCAAAGTCACCTTTTGCCTCTACGGCGCAGTGAATGCCCTATTCGTGGCGGCCGCGGGGCTCCACAGTGGCATCTCTGGGGTGAAGGCAGAAGCGAACCCCAAGCAGGCACAAGAATACTTGATGATGGCGAACTCGCTCCTAGGGTTGCAATACTGCCTGGACTTTCAGGAGTCTAGCCTTTGGCCAATCCATGCTAATGATGTCATCTTAAACATTAATCAATCGCGCGATGCTTTTGAGCTGGCTAAAGGCATTGCAGAAACTCCAGCTAGAGCTCCGCTGCGAGGCTCTTCGCTGTATGACTTGCCGGCGCCAGAATTAGCAAAGCAGCTTTCGACCACACTGCAATGCGCTGAGATCAGAATCATTGCTGTGGGAACACATCCCACTCTGACTTTGGAGCCAGTGACTATGCTCAGAGACTTTGCCTTCACCTCAAACCAAGTTCTCAAGGTGCTGCAGACCCTTGGCATTACGTATAAGTGCACAGTGTTTCCCGAGATGTGTGGTGACAGCACTGAGTCTGTTGACGATCCCGTTGCAAGCCTTATCGGGCGATTTGAAGCGCCGCCGCCTTATGAGCGCTATACTTTGGACGTCATTTCTCAACGGCTATCCGAAGTCGCGGCACAGCTGGACTTTGATCTTCTAGTGTGCACCAGTCCATTTATCGTTTGCGGTCTTTTGCAGGCCTTCACGCAGAAGCCCATGCTAGGATATTTGGGACTGCCCTTGTTGTGGAAGAGACCAACGGATCACTTTGACAACACGACAGCACGGGACATATTCTGGGGATTGTTGACATACCTCCAGGAGCGCCCAGACGTTGTTCTTGCCACCAACAATCCACTCCTCACAGAGCAGATAGCCTTTCAAGCCAAAGGAGCACTCCTACCAGTGGTTCGCCCTCATGCCCGTTTCACCCAGGCAGTCTATGCTCCTTCCCGGCTTTATGATGCACTGTTGGTCTCGCGCACCAAGTTCATGTGGGTCACGCTCGGCTGCGCTTTGCGTCGATTCATGGATGACACGTATCCCATCAAATTCACCGTCGCGAACTCGGACTCAAAGTTTAGCTTCAGCGAAATGGCAGCGCATCGGGCTGTGGTGTTGATCCCCTGGGAACATGCGCTAATGGCTTTCTTTGAGTTCTACTCCATGTCGATTCCTCTACTGATGCCTGATGCGTCATGGAGCTATCGCTTGATTTTTGATGCCGAGGGCAATCTGGGTTGCACGATTCCTCTCTACTCAGACGTGAGTCCTGCATGCCCTTCCGGCTGCGATCCCATCCATCCGTACCAACCTTTTGCATTCGCCAGTTTTGAGTCTCGGCGGTACTGGTACCAGTACTCATCTTTTGCACAATTTCCACATATTCAGCGCTTCACGAGCATTTCTGACCTTCTTCAGCAATTGCTGCAGCTCAATTTGGCTGGGGTAAGTGCTTCGATGAAAGCCTTTAATGACGAGACCCTGATGCGAAGCATTGCTTTCTGGCGCACTGCAGCACGGCAGATACTTCCATGCCCTACGGTGCTTAGCACAGGATCTCTCTGAAGGGCCAACCACAGACCACAGACTGGTAGATGAACTGCTCAAGGGTGGCGACAAGGGCTCGCAATCCAGATTTCTTGATGTGTTGATTCAGAGGACAAGTGCTACTCTCCTCGCCGTCTCTGTGAAAACTGGCAGCCCACTTGAGCAATGCATCATTTTAAGGTCCCTAGTTTCCAAAAGAGATTGCACAGGCCCATTATCTTTATCCGTGCTCCAGTCCTACCCAGACTTTCCTAGACTGCAGTTGGACTCCCAGATACTCCCAGCCTGTGGATTTCCTTGAAGTTCCATTCATGTTCCAGCCCCCACATCCTTTGCCAGTTCCGACGATGGTGGCATCATAGCGCCGCGGAACTTAGCCCACGTGGACCGAAGGGTGGAGGGTGGGGGCGGAGCTTGCCGCAGGGAAAAGGACCTAGCTGCTAGGCTATACAGCTTTATCAAGTTACAATCAAACCTTGTTTGAGGGGAGGGGCTCCTGCCCAAGATGGTGATCACCTGAAACAGGCTGCTCAGTTGAAGACCTTTGAGAGCATATTGTCATGCGAAGTCTGCTAGTTGTCCTATCAGTGATGCTTCCAGATGTGTCACAATGACCCCCTCGGCGTGCCCGAGGGCATATCGCGTGACCCATGTTGCCCTTTCAGTGAACGGGAACATGCCCTATGCCCCAACGGTGAACCATGAGCCCTCGCTTGTATGCACCTTACAAGGACACACCCTTTATATACTTTAGGCCTATTTTAGATAGGAATACTGTAATATGTGAGTGTGAAATGCTGGTGACGAAGCTGAGCAAAGGGTGAGATTGACCCCATGCAGTCCAATTGCGGGCTAGATTTCAACACATTGGTTTTCTGGAGATCTACAAAGAATCTTACGAGATAGAACATGTAGATCTGAGACATGATCATTGGCCAGGAAGTAGATTTGATTCAGTATACACGTATGTCCGTTCAAGTCGTGTGAGTCAAAGGTAGATTCCCCATAACCATGGGAGATGAACATTCCTTGAAGCTCAGCGATGAGAACGAAGAATGCTCAGTTGTGAGGACTGCCCACGCACTTGCTGTATGAGTCGACGCTTGTGCCTGCGTTTGACTGATGCTTGCGGCTATCGAGCCATTTGGCAGCATCATTCCATTTGCCCAATTTCTTCGCCTGTCATCTATGTGGTGATTGTATGTTTTTTGTGTGTCACCACATGTGTTGCGAACTCCATAGCTTCATCACCTGGGGTGGCGAACCCGCCAGGTTCCATTTAGCTCACCGATGATCCTGATCTTCGGCGGAAAGGCCTATGAACATGTGAAGGTCATCACCGTCGATCCGACCGTCGATCCGATCGTCGATCCGACCGTCGATCCGATCGTCGACACGTGGGCGATCGTGTGGACAGTGTCGTTGCAACCGGGTTGACCCACCGGATCCATCTGACAACCTACAGACAAGTGTCTCATCTGCATCCCAACAGTTTTGGGGATTGGGTGGAGACTCACCTGGCCAACACATGTAAGCAGACCCTCCTCCCTTCCGAAAAAAGCTTACCCATGTGATGCCAACATGTGCTGCAAGACACGAACTTCCCATTTTAAACCAATGTATTCGTTGAAGCGTATGATGCACGCTTCCTTCCGGGCACGTGCACGGCAACTGAAATCAGAACACTTCAATTTCCAGTCACTCAAGTTTGATGGTGCAAAGCCAGAGGCTGTTTTAGAACTTGCTTAGTAAGGTAAAACACCCCCACTGGGGATTTCAGGGGGACCTTCCGTAGTCAATGGGAGACGACTCCCTCCGCACCAAGTGACAAGTCTGTAATCATGCAATTAATCATGTACAATCCAGAGATATTCTTACGTTTTCTTTTGCAGGTCTTGGCAACATCTGCCCGCATCGTTCCAAAGGCTGCCCCCCCCAAACGCAGGATCCCGCCACAGGGCGATTGATCTACCACTTCTGCGAGCAGCTCTCCAAAGTGGATTTGAGGCGACAACGGCTGACCGAGCGCCGACGGGGGGAGACCCGGACGGAGATGGAGGTTTCGGACGGGGACGGGAGGGGACTGGAGGAAGGCTAAGGCTGGGAGACTGGGGCAAGAACTTCAATTTCTGATCTCTGAATGTGAGAATTGGAGGAGTGAGTCGGGAGTGGGTTGAAGCATCACAGTTTTTGGCTGTTCCATTTCGTTGTGTTGATTGGAGTTGGACGAAAAAGCAGTCTTGCAAGCGCTTGATGAGGCTTGAATGTGTATTGAGCTGGTTGCAAACATGCTGTCCCACATGAATGTGGCATTCCATTGCTTCATATAGTAGTACTTTTAGCCTTCTCGTGAACTGAGACAGTCATTTTGTGATTTTGTGCGCAGGGAAGAGTGGCGTTCTTGCAGTGAAGTCACTTTGAACGAGCTGTGGCGAGACTTCTCTAAATTGAAGGCGACCCCTTGGCTGTTGAGGCCACCCCTTGGCCGGTTGTGTTCTTGGTTGGTTAGTTGTCTAATGTCATCTACAGAGTCAGTCTGTCGAACGTGATTGCACAAGTGACACCCCCTTGAAGACATTTGGCTTGCCTTTCATCGGTGGCTAGCTGAAAGAAGATAGGTTCTCCGATCCAAGGATATGACATCAAAGGCAACAAGTGGGAGTTGAGATCTCAGCAAAAGGCTGTAACTTTGTGTGAAAAGGTTTGCACAGTTTGCACTTGCTCACTTGACTCCAAGAAATGGTGCACAACAAACAACAATTGACAATTGGCTCTGAGGTTTCTGAAGACCGATTCAGCTACAAGTCCCACCACCCAAGAACCCGTTGGCTGGCCAGTGGCAAGGCTTGGCATCAGTCGGTGAGGGTATCTGAGCATTTGGTCAGTGACGACCCGGTAAGTTGGAGGTCCACTGGTTGGAAATCCATTTAAGGGGGCTGAATCAGATGGTTTCAGAATTTGATCCTTGCGTTTCTCATATCTTCTTTTTTAAAACTTTTTCTCCAAAAACTTTTGCTGTGAGGGGTTCTCAATTCTTGCATAGAAATGATCCTGGGCCAAGATGATTTCTGGCCTTTTGTCTCCTTTTGTCTCCTTTGTCTCCACATGGCTCTGCTGGATGCTTGGGCTGAGATGATTCTGCTTTGTTTTCCTTTGTCTCGTTTGTTTCTCATGGCTCAAAACTGGCGGCAAAAGCTTTCAAGGTTCGCTGGCACTGACAAAACATCAAGCTGCTGTTGCTGCTGCTGCTGCTGTTTGGAGTCGATATGTGTCGGTGCTGGTGTTATTTTCTCAGCCAGTCATAGATTGTTTTATCCTGCTTCCATCTCCTGCAGGTTTGGCCATGGTGCAGCGGTAATCGAGATGGTGGATGAACAGAACTCCGTGTGGCACCTGGAAATCTGCTGAAGAATCGTTCAAGCTGCACTGATTTTGTCACAGGCGAGGCTATTTTTAGATCGGTTTTCTCGAGCATACGCAAATGATGTGCTGCTGAACCATAATTAAGACTTCGTCTTCAAGCTGTACTAAGCAGGTGTATTATAGATGGTGAAATGAACTGTATCCCTGACAACTTGATTTTTTGCGAAAGGAGACTCGAACATTCGAAGTTATGAAGCTTAGGGGTTCTCGAAAGATTCGGAAACTCATGGAAACTCGGAAACATGCAAAGGCTAAAACTGCGCATTTCGGGCAAGTGACAGGCTTTTTGCACGATTCTTTTCCTGTGCCCTGTAATAAGCTGCTGGCCCAAAGAATCATGGAGCATTCTCATGAGTCATGAAGTTTGCAATGGCCTGGCAAACAACCGCTCTCGCCCGAGGACATCAAGCGAATGTACATGTACGTCTTCGGAGGAATGGGGAACCAATGTCCAGGCTTTGGCCTCGATATGCCGCTGAAACCGGTCCAGCCGGCCGCGGTATGCTGCAAAAAGATGTCAAAAGCATCCAGAATTCTGCAGAGCCCGTTGGAGTCTTGAAAAGCGTTCGAGCTGGTTGAAGTCGGAGATGTGTTGAATTCTCTTCGGCTTCGGTCGGTCTTAAACTGAGGCAGTGTTTGTAGTGACGTGTGGCGTTACGAGATACCATGGGCTGCGCAGGCGAGATCCTGTCATGAATACACCCTGACTTCCACTGGTTCGAATGCAGCGGTCAGGCTTACTTCCCGAAATATCCCACGGGTGACTGGGTGGGCGGCTGAGAACTACACCTAACTTGTCGTGATCACGTGTGAAGAACACAACACTCATGTAGACTGCTGATGAATGAGAAGAACCCCATTTGGATTGTAACACTTCTTCATATGAGTTGTTTTTCATATTGCCTTCTCCTTTCAGCCCACAGTCGCATATGAATTGCTCTCAGCTTGCGGCCAAGCACCTCTCTCTCTCTCTCTGTTTGGGCCTAACAATAAGGTCCGAGGCAACGTTTGGGATCGGCTCAAGGCAAGGAACGTTTGTGTTGCATTTGGATCATTCGGATCCACTGCTTGACGAGGACAATCCATATGGAGGTCGCTACCGTCCCGACCTCGCTGATTTTTTTTCATCGAGGATGATGGGAAGAGTTCATGATTGTTACTAGTAGCGATGCCCTTGTTACTACTAGCTTCTTGCTACTAGTAGTAATACCAGGAGCTACTAGTAGCGTCCTTGTGCCTCATGTGATTCAGGTCATGGCATGGCCCTTTGCTCAGCACTGGCGAAGAGTTTCACTCCCATTTCTTCGGTGAAGCCAATTGAGGTCAGCACATCCAGCATGGAGTACATCTATGTCTATGGCGGACAAATACTGGGTGGCTTTGACAACACGCTCTTGCGCTATCGAATTTCCACAGACTTGTGGGAGGAGCTTTGACGAATTTTGTTTCGTTGCCGAAGACCAGGAGGTTCTTGGTGAGTCTATTGGAGCTTTGACTAATTTTTATGGTTGGATGGATGGAATTTGGGGCTTGGACCTAAAGACACGATACATGACAAAATATCATTGTGTCGTTGTTGTGACTATCACGATCAGGTAATAGCTTCTACAGGCTTTGCACGTCAGAGATGCTTCTATTTAGCACGGGAAACGGCAAAACTGCTATGAAGTACTTACTTATAGTACTTGAAAACGCGATGATTGGCTGGACATGTATCTCATTTAATAAATTTTGTGTTCACCTCAAACAGGTATCCGCTGTTCTCATTCGTTCGTTCTCCAGCCGGATGCAGAACATGACGGCTTCACGGACCAGACCCCCTGCCGCGCTTTCCAGGACATGCGGCCTTATGGTCGAGTGTCTTTGACACGGCTGATGTACGACTACTTCGGGGCCAAAGCCTCACTGAACTATATATGTCCAAGCCAGTCATTTGTCATCCTCAGTCAGCTTTGGGTAGAAGCACTTGAATCACGAATTTGCCGAGGGATGCGGATTTAAAATCGGTTAGCCAAGTAATTTCCATGGTTTTGATATATATATATATATGTATACATATAATATTATATATAGAGGTGGCTACATTTGAGTGCATTGCACCCTTCGAAGTCATGGAGACTGTGGCGAGACATGCCACTAGGTCCTGGTAATGTAAACCAGGCCTCCCAACATGAAAAGACATATTCTGTCCAGTCCAACGGGCAACTTCCCTCACTCCCAAGACTCCGGCTGCGACCAATGCACCGGTGCAGTCGTATGAAGAGGACACCCGTGAGAGACGATTGCACGTCATGTTGGAAGTCCTTGGCTGAATGCATCCATTTGTTCCCGTTGAGTCAGCTGAGGCGTTTTTTGATCTTTTTTTTTGGCAGGCATTACACATGAGTTCTGGGGCAGTGTGCTCATGCCATGACAGGAAACAGATGTAGATTGCGACCTTGCTTGGTCATTTACAGGAAAGTTCGCTCATTGCAAGGCCGCTCTTTCAAGTTCGCTCATTGCCGTGGAGTCCACGGTGTTCCATGTGTTGGGCGCAGCCTGCTCCGCAGGTTTGCCCCTCTTGCGGCCTTGTCCTCGGACGTCGAGAGGACGGGCTTGCTCACGTTTGGTGTCGGAGGGTTTCAAGTTCCAGAATCCAAGGGTTACCGTTTGTTCGTTTGTTCCTTTCTCCGTTGCCTGCTTTTGCCTGTGTCCAAGTGGGTAACCTCCTGGCCATTCGCTCACGGTCATGGAATCTAGAAGTTGTTCTTCTTTGCAGAACCTGGTTCAGTATATATATATATATAGATCCCCTGGTTTGTAGCATAGTACCGGAATGAAGAACCTCTGAACTCCCGGAGGAAGGGGCTCACATGCCCAGCGAACGAGCCGACCACAGCATGGTAAACTTTCGTGATGAGCAGCCTGGGGCGGTGGATGACGTGATCTCTGTGGCAAGCTCAGATGGGGCTCCGACTGATTGTCATGATTGTCTGACATCATCAGGTAGCACATGGGTGTGTGGATATTGAGGCCCGGCTGGATAGCCGCCCCTGGGTGAAAAGATGAATGTGTAGGCATTCCAACCCTATTCCAATACACCCACACGGTAGAAATTAGTTTGCTTGAGGCAAGGAGCCAGGCTGACAACACGGCCTAAGAGCAGAGCACAAAAAAATAGAAACGTGATACGGACGATGTCAGATGTAAGGTCTTTGGAGGCTTCCGCACAACGTGGGGATACTTTGCCAAGACACCACAAGAGTGCCTGGAGCGCTAAGAGCATGTGTTGCTGAATGCTGTGATGAGGGGAAATGAAAAACATGACAAGGGGCTGACTAGAATTCGGTGAAAGGAGAGCGCCACCACAACAACGACTACCACCACCACGTCCGGTGATCAGGCTGTTCTATCATACATACTGTTACATACTGATGTTACATACTATACTGTCATTCATCCTGTACCAGATAGTGTACCGCTGTTGCGCTCTTCGGAGGGTGTTCCCCTGCCAGGTGATCACTTTGACAGACCCTCCTGACACAACGCCCTTGCAGTGCACAGCTTAGACTCAGAGAGACTCATTCTGATTATCCTGTGCCCGCTGGCTTGAGCCTTGCTCGACGTCGCGCGTTCAGGTCCGGCCCAGAAACGACCACATTGCTGGAAGGGGGTTGGGTGCCCAAGAAATTGCAAGAATTCCAAAGAATTACTTGGACAACCTCAATTTGGCTTGAGGAATCGCATGCACCATCCCACTGAGGCGTTCAAGTGGTTGGCTCCTTCGACACTTTGGGGAATGATCGGATCCCTGAGACTTCCGCAGGCCTCAACCATGCGCGCGACGACCACGGCGTTCGCGACGACCACGGCCTTCAGGCATGATCACCACGACGGTGACGGATCCCAACGATCGCATCACGCTGGACCTGGGAGACACCATCACTGCAACCAGCACCGCCACCACCCTTGCAACCACAGTGGTCATCACAAGCAGCACCATGACCAGCACTGAGACCGCTACCTCCACAGCAGGTGGTCCGGCACCCCCACCCACCGGACCTCAGACCAACCCACCGGTGGTGCAAGGGAGCTACACTTCAGGGGTCAGCAACAACGTGCCACCGGCAGTTTTCGGCATTTGGGGCAAGCAAGGTTGTAGATTCAGATGATTGTAGGTCGTGCATCAGATGATTTTGCAGGATTGGATCTATAGTATTTAGATTCTAGATGTATCATAGTTGACAGCAATGCCAGTTTTGGCATGCGTATCGATCTCTAGCTTGTGTAGTCTGCTTTCACATGCTTTCACTAGCCAGCTTGCAATTGCTAATGTCTCTTTTGCTGGATTTGTGTGGACATGTGATATTCTACTATGATATTTGATATCCTCAAAACATCTTTAAAACATCTGAGAACACCAAAGTTGCACTTTTTTTCTCACAAAAATTAGACTCGACTCGACTCGATCGAATTTGGCCAGCTGACGGCGGGCGGAGCCGTGTCCTCCGATCAATCTACAGTGGTTCTCCGTGCCTTGGCTGGGAAGGACCGCCAGCGGCCTGGTCTCCTTTGGGGTTCAAGAGGTCTTTCTTTACGCATCTTTCTTCTTGGTAAGCTGACCCAAGAGGTCTCCTTTTAATGTTCTTTGCACATCCTTCTTCAAGATTTGGTCGGTTTACACATTTGGCCCTTGAAACATATTTGAACATTTGGGCTTTAACTTCTTGGGTCGGCTTCGCAAGTCGTTCTTTTTGCTTGAGAGTAGATCCAACTGATGAAAACATGATCCAACGACCCGTCGCGTTTTCCAGCGTTCCGTTGGCTGCATGCAGGTGAAGGCCCAACTCCGGCATGTTCACCGAAATACTACTTCGATGACTATTGGTATTATGACACGACGGTGAATCAATGGTCTGCTCCCCAGTGATTTCGTGTGCATGTGTGATCAAAGACTTGCCAGACTTGAGGCCTTGCAGGACAAGGAAGCCAGACTTGATGACGAGACATGAGTTTGGAATGGTAGAACCTTTGTCCATCCTCCAATCCGAACCTGGTGGCCAAGCCTCACCGTACGTCTGACTTGGAAGCCTTCGGAGCGCTGAGGGCAGCGTTGCAGATCTTTGGAGACCTGCCACCTTCCCGGAAAGGCCATGCGATGATTGTTCGGGGCTCAGCTCGCCCTTGGCTGGGGCTGTGGTTTTGAGGGCTGGTGGTCTCCGACCACTGGAGAGCACCCATCCTTTGGTTTGCTGGGCCAGAGCAAGATGCAGTTTGCTGAGGCTCGTAATGCCCGCAGCAATGATACGCAGGTGGTGCTCTTTGGTGGAAATGAGCAGGCCCGTTCAGGGTGAGGGGAAATCCCAGCCAATTATAGTCAATCTAGATAGTCGGACCATGCAAAGGAATGCACGGGAATCTTGGCGTAGTGCTCTTGTTGCGAGCCTACTGTGAGAGCGAGGACCAGCCATTGAACGACCTCTGGATTCTCAACGTGAAGCGTCCTGGTCGTTTTCCCAGCCAAGCATTGAATGGGGATGGGTCAAAACCCGGAGCGGCTCCTAATCCCTGGTAGGTTGACCTGGTAGGTTGACCGGCTCTCAATGGGGTCCCCATTCCCCCAGCACCTAGTTAGATTGCCTGCCAATTCAGTTCGAGCTCGATTTTGATCATCTATTTGCTGCGCGGATATTCGGTGTCACGTAATTAGGATCAGATCTTGTTGTACAGTTCTATTGCATGTGCAGTGGTTATATACCCCAACTCCCTGGTACCCATCATTGGTGAAGGACCGAGGGAAGCGTCAGACTGGATGCGCAAGTGACGTCGGTAGGTCAACCAAGGTCTCCTGGTCTTGACCCACATCCAAATGGTTTGTCTTCTTTCACGTATATATATAATTATATATATAATATATATATATAATATGTTATATAATATATATATATATATTTTGTTTTTTTCTCCACAGCAGATACACTCAGACCCAGACCCGAGTACGGGGACATGTTATGAACTAGGAAGACATCGACTTACACTTGCCCGTGGATTTGTGAGTCCGCCTCCTACCCAGGTGTTGAAAGGACCTGGACACAGATTGCTGGGTTCCAAGTATACAATTTGAGATGATTTGCAGACGCGAGAGGATGGGCTGACAGTCATCCCTTTCTTGCAAGATTTGTGTTGTTGGGGAGGTTTATGAGGTTCCTAGTCCCTGCTTTTCTTTTTTGATACTGAGAGTTGCTACATCCAGAGTGAGGGAAAATCAGGGAGGGAACGCTCCACACAAGTTGCAGTTGGTCAAGTCAAGTCAAGCTTTCACTTGAAAAGCCTGAGATGCAGCGATGGGAGGCACACGAAAAAGAAGGTTTGAAGGTAATTTTCTGACCCCCGAGTCAGGAAGTTCTCTCACCAATTTGCATTCTTTTGACATGTTGAGCTTATGGAACTTGGAGTTTGCATAGTGTATTCGTCATTGCGGCCATTGGACTGTGGGATCTCCACAGCTCACCATCGAGAACATGTACTTCATAATTTTTTGTGCGTCTCCATTGGGGGCAATGGGACTGCCCGTTCACCGCGCAAGCTGGGAGGGTCGCCGATGGTTCCCCCCTTGTTCTCTGAACTTTTTGCGTCCACTACGTCCATTGTGTCCACTCCACCAAGGACAAGTTCTTCCCAGGGGTGAAGCCTCCGGCTGTGTACGGGGCTTGACGGGCATGACAGGCTAGCGCAAAGCTCTTTGGGGTGTTGAGTATTTCTTGCAGAAAGGATGAGAACGGACGGAAAGCCAAGATTCATAAAACCTGATTATTGTCGAGCCATGATTCCATGATTAATTCACCCCCTGAAGGTTTTCTATTCGGGGGGTGACATGGGCTCAATGGCGAGGATCTGATCCCAAAGACAGAATCTCTTCATGAAGAAGGATCCCAAAGACAGGAATGTTCCTTCGCAATAGGACCATTGGATGAGGGGTTGGTGAAATTACAGGAGTTGAAGCAAGGGAAGAAAGGCGATTAGTATTGCAAGAAAACTGCAAGAAAGATGGTTAGAGCTAGTTGGGTTTTCCTTAATCATGGGTTGACACTACGTGCTACGGGAAGTATGGTCTTGGATGAGATGTGATTGTTACACTTGTTGCTGTGATCCACGAAAGAAGACCAAGGGCTTTTCACACCATGGTCTATGTGGAAGAGATGGACACTGCCTATGTGTTTGGCGGTTTGATCTGGAAGAGTCAGCGGCTTAAGAAGCTCAACCCACTCGTGCTTCAGCACTTTGACGGATCGAGAAAGGCGCGTTGGTCCACTATGTCCACTGGCGTAGCCCCGTGTTCGTGACCGAGGAACGGACCTGACAGAGACGGATCGCCTTCGCAACATCGATCGGCGTTGCCTCAAGGAGGCTCAAGGACGGGACTCGGAAGCGCGCCGGATTTCCGTCGTTCATTCACTGCCTGGCCGTTTTCCCCCAAAGACGCGGTCAAGAGAACAAGATGACTTATTCATACTTATTCTATTTTATTTTTTTAAACATGCTTTTCTATGCAAGTGTGTCAAAAATGGTGGGTTTCCCACATCATCCTTCTGACCTGACACGCACACAGAACAAGCCATCACAGAGTACATACAGACATAGACGATGTTTTGCTATGTTTTGCTCTAGCGTTTGAAAGAGTGGTAATTTGATTTCAGGACTGCCAATGACAGAGCCAGGGGCCCTGGAAGCAATTTTCCACAAAACCTGTTTGAGATCAGGGACCTACTTCCAATATTTAATAACACAGTCTACGAGGAGAAGGATATTGCAGTTTCTGCGGACATTCATTTTCAGTTTCAACAGCAGCACTTTTTGCGTTCTTCCCAGGCACGGGACAAGTGAGGTAAACTTTTTGGCCAAGATGGTGGCCAAATGCACCACCAGCTATCGAACAGCAGGGGTTCCGTCCTGCTCCATGCAAGGGGTTCGGTCGACCAAATTCGACTAGTTTCGTACATGGTGGTCTCTGACATCTCAAGTGGACACAAGGGTCTGGGGCCGAATCTGGCCGTTGATTGTTGCTCTGAATGTAGGGAGTTTGTGCGACGGAAGGCGTCCACTCCGAAAAAGGTACTGCTTCCTCCTTCTGCTGCCCCCTCACAGCCACAGTGAGATCCTCCGGTCGTCCACCTCCCGCCATGATGAGGCGGAGACAGTCTCTGAAACGAGAGCAAAACAATAGCTTGGACAGCATGATCCAGTTTGTGATTGGGTGAGCCGTGAAGCAAACACCGACCGAGGGAAAGACTACCTACTTGATCCTACTTGCAGGACTTGGTAGCCAGATGCAGTCAGAGTGTATTTTCCCAGCATCGCAGCATGGCATGTCAGCAGTGGTGATTGATTGGTTGAAACGCAGTGGGCCTTAGCGGGCCTGCCGTGCCAGTGGGATCAAGATCCGCACTACGGAGAATGCCTTGAACCTCACAGCCATTAGTGCCCTTTGTCGGGGTCCCAGGCTCCTGCTGCGGCACTCTTTCTTTTCAACGGCTTTTGGTCCCGCAACCATTGACAGAAAGTGGATCACTTTTGTGTTCTTTCTGATCATTCTTTCTTTCCACAAACTGGGATTGGAGCGGAAACAAAGAATCCCAAATCGCCAGATCACGTTGTGCTTGAGAGTGCCATTCATCACAAGAAGCGCCCATTTTGGGTCCAATCTGGGGCAATCTGCAGGGGGCACCCCATGCTGTACCGTGGATGCTGCTTCAATTTGTTGTGTTGAGAAGAAACATGAAGAAACTATTTCCAAAACAAGAGTGGAACCGGCAAAACTGTACTGTTCCTATTGCAGATCCGTTGCTGTGTTTTGTATCAACTTATCACAGCTTGTGATCGGATTCCCCAAACACCGCAGTTGCAGTTGAGTGAATCGACATACATTACCTGAGGTCGTGCTGACTGTGAGGCGAACGCCTTCTTTCCAGAGTTCTATCCGGTCATATCGGAAGGAGTTCGGGATGCTCAGTACACCGTGACTTTTGACTTAGTCATCAAATTTGATCAATCTATTGCCTTATCCGCATGTTCACCTGAGCTTACTAAGTCCATGCTGGTTCGATGAGGTCTAATGTAGTATTACATTAAGTATATCTTCAGTCTTCCGACCCTTTAGAATAATGTCCCAAAGTTCTTTTGGCTTTTGAGTCTCAACGAGATCCGACCTTTCGCTTTTATTTCAGATGTGGGAGCGTCCACATCGTCGCTTTTTCCGGACTCTCAGCCAATTTGGAGCAAACCGATGGACCGGCTGAGCGCCAGGTTTGGACCTTCAACATGAGTTCCTGTCCAAACAATTGCAACAACCATGGCCGCTGCGACTTCAGCCAATGTGTGTGTGAACCACCGTGGCCAGAAGCTCAGATCAGCTGGAGGACGGCCTGGACTTCTGTTGTGGGCGCCGTTTGTCCGACTCCACCCACCGAATTTGCAGCATCAAAAACGTGGCGCGCAGTCATTAGGTATGGCGCCGACTGCTCCCTTCGAAAGTGTCCTGGCACTGTTTGCTATGCTGACTCTTCGACGAAGGACAGAACCGATGGTCGGCACGCATGGCCGAAAGTCCGACGAGTTCGAACAACTCGGAATCAGCCTAAGCTGTCCTAAGCTAGAAAGACGTTCACACTTCATGAACATTTGTGAACAAACCTCCTTACATACATCTTCCTGTAACTATTCTGTCTACTGGGTGTGTCTTAGCATCTTTGGAAGTGTTTCCACCGGCATGGATAGCCACCCTTGCAAGGAGCAGTTCTGCCTAGAGTGTTCCTCCCGCGGCCGTTGCATTGAGAATGCCTGTGTTTGCGATCCAGGGTAAGCCGGGCTTGGCTTCTTGCTGTTTTCAGGGAGCCATTTGGTTTAGGAGGCTGGTGTCCATTTGGAGGCCCATGTGTTTAACCGAGTGGATGAAAACGATTGCTCAAAGCAAAACCCATGTAGCCAAGACCTTAACTCCTCTGCGCTGACTGAACTCACTACTCCGCTGCTCCTGAACTTCTTTGGGCCAGGTGGTCCTACGAAGATTGCTCAGTACCAGTCTGCGAGAACAACTGCAGCTCAACTCCTTTCGAGCAGCGAGGAGTCTGTGTCGAGGAGAGCTTTTTCGACAGAGCTTCCAAGAAACGTCGTCATGGGCCAGAGACCGTCTCCGTAAACAGAAAAGACCGTCTCCGTCTGAGTCATGAAATGATTTGTTCATATTTGTTCTTTTGATGGGAGATTGTAGTTGGTAGACCTCGGTCCCGGACGGGTATCCGTCAACGTATCTACTTCTAGTATTTTGACACATCGACGCAGCTATTTCAAGGAGCACAAACATAATCACTGGTATCAAACAGAACCAGAAAGTGGTTGCGAGGAAGAAATGAATAGGAAGGGAAGGAAGGACGTACAAGAGTCCTTGCAGAGCATGGTTTTGGCGGGTGATTGATCCCCCCTTCAGCCCCTTCGGTGGCCTGCCGAGCTTTAATGGACACAAGCTTCTCACTCACGGAGGATCTTTTTGAGTCTTGGAACAACTGGTGACCTGTTTACAATATGCATGGTTGTTTTTTTGGCGCAGTTCTTGATGTTTTCTGCGGTGGTCTTCCGTATTTTCTCTTCCACATAGAGCTCCAAGGATTACTATCCTCCAGACTTTTGAGCAGATTATGTCCTTTTTTCCATGGACGACACTCTTTTTGGGATACCAAGGACTGAAGGACTTGATCCCAAACCAAACTTGGGATGTATTGATGTAGGGATGATCCCAAGGGCCAAGGCGGCAAAGGCATGTTCACCATTCCACTCATCCTGCACCCTATCGGACCGTCGATGGTCAGGACTTTCCAGTTCATCAATGTCATTGTTTTGGTCGCTACAGCGGCTATAATTGCAGTGAGTGCGCTGGGCATTTCTGGAACAGTCGAAGATCTTCGTGTTATGTAACTGAAGTTCTTTGGCCTGTTTTGCCTGCCATCATGTTCCATAACTCGTTCAGCATCAGTATGAGGCTAGTACAGCAGGCCACTACACCTTTCCATGTTGACCCCAGGCATAAAAAAGCTGAAAACATCTGCAGATGCCAAGAGCAGCTTTTTGGCTGTGCAGGTCCTAGGCCACCCCACAACCCGATGCTGCAAGCCCTGCCATGCCAACTTAGTGGTATTGCCAGATGCGGCTACTCATATCAGGTTGCTTTGCCTGAATGCCTGTTCAGGGTCGTGCTCTCAGCCATTCAAGAGTCTTTGCATCTTGTTTCCTCTGTTTTTTGAGTTTGAAGAGGCTCCAATAGTCACTAGTTCTAGTCTTCCTTTCGGATGCATTCGGATGCCCCCAACCAACGACATCGTCGTGGTGGTGGTGGTGGTGGTGGTGGTGGTGTGTAGCGTTAGGTTTGGTGGCCTCATGTTCAAATGGAGGTGGTGTGGACTAGACAAACTGATAAGCACCTGCCTCGACTTCAATGCCCTTTCCAAGGCGAGGCATTTGCGTGAATGGCATGTGTCAATGTGAGATTGGGTCGGCAGCTGAGCAGAGCCACGCACTTGGGTGAGCGGATCGGATTTGCTGAGAAAATGATACAAGATGATACAAGGTAATACAAGGCAGGGGTCGCCTAAGGGTCCCAGCTCCTCTCAAAAGTGTATGTTTGATTTGTTTGCTTTGTTTTGGTTGCTTTTTGGCCTCTAAATATACTACCGTCTAGGGCTGATGCAACTGAAAAAATCCTCTGAAGATTTTGGGAACAGCAGCTTGAGATTTCAGCGTTTTCTTGAGCAACAAGATCCATACATCCATACCAGGACCGGATTTCTGACTCTTTGTTTTCAGAATCTTCACATATTTGCAGGTGGTTGGGTGCCTTAGGGTTGATCTAGTCTCTTTTTGCCTCTACCTTCATTCGGCTTAAGCGTGAGGTTTCATGGCGATGACTGCTCGATTTTTATGATCGAATTTGAGAACCAAAATTTCGGCATCTATGCGGATGAAGAAGCGGCTGGCACTGATGCCGCCACCGCGGCGTAGCCGACCAGCTACTGTAGATGTCCTGAAACACATTTGCCATTCGTGATGAAATGGCACATTGCACCACTCAAACATGCTTGAAGCAGGTTTCGAAGGACATCAGGCTCAAATTATTCCCGCAAAATGCGGGAACTTGTCCATAACGCTCAATCTGAACCTTGCGGCAGTTTCCGGTACAAACTCTTTCAAGGGAGCTTGTTCTTTTTGCAGGCTGCAAGATTCAGATTTGTCTCAGTGGGTGTGTTCCGCACACTATGGTGTTGCAAAAGCTGCTCGTTTGGTGGACAGAGCTTGGGTCATAAGTGGAACGTAGTGCTTTCAGGGCTCCCGGCCGGCTGACTGGCTGGTCTTGGCAGGAAAAGCGCTGATCAATGGAATGGACGCCCTGTGCCAAGTGGATTTCTAAGTGAAAGCATAATAAGGTTCTTTAAAGGACAAACAATTGCAGAGGCGGAAAGAAACACTAATCATAACTTTGCTTTTCTACGTACTAGCTAGCGCCGCTGAGGTAGTCGGGGGAAGCCAACCAAGACGTACTGAGGGACGCTGAATATGCTACCTCTCACAGTAGACGTGGCGATGTGGGTTCTGAAATTGATCCCTCCGGTGTGCTATGACTTGGTACTCCCTGCGGAACCGTCCAAAAGATTGCGCCTCACAAACATCATGTTCGAGCATTTAGATCACGAGGGAGAGAGTCACGCGTTTAGAAACTAAATGCAATTGTATGATTCTGTCGGCTCAAGCATAGCGAGTGGAGGGTGCCATATCACGAGTCAATGCTAGGGCCACATTCCTCCAGTACTCCTCAGCAGTGCACCGACCACTGCCGATTAGGGCATGCGTTCCTTTCAACCTGTATGAAGATTTTCACCGTAGTGCGGATTCAGGGCTTTCCGAATCGGCAGGACTGTCAGCGTGTCTAAAGCCAAGGACTGTCTCAGCTTGTCTAGGCGGCCTTGTAGAGGTGCTCGTGCCCCAAACCGCCCGCCATGAGCAAGGCAGCCAAGGCCAATCAGGCCGGTTGCTGTGCATGTTGGATGCTTGCAGTGCTGAAACGAAGTTCTGATGGCTTTGATATGCTTTGATCAAAGACATTTCAGTCGAAGATTAGTCTTGCTCAGGCACCCAGCAAGATAGCTGAGTCGTCCTTTGGCGCGGAGGATGAAGTCGTGGCCTGATGTTGTGAGCAAACATCGTTCTCGCATTCAGATGTACAGCAATCGTTAGTTTTGCAGGTGCAAAATCGCGATTTAAGATTTTGATTGGTGGTTATTTCACGGATTTCCGCAGGATGTCTACCATCAAACCCCTGATAGAAGAGGCTTGTGCAAAAACAAAGTTCCTGAAGGTCATTTTAAGCCTGATCATGCCAAGGCACTTGGACAAGGTCTCCCTGCGCATTGGACAATAGAGGCTGGAGTGACATTGAGCCACCAATTTGCAGAGGAGCATAATCTGCCATGGGGGCACACAGCGCAGATGGCGCGTTATTTGCCTCCAGGAATTGCTGTAAGCGGCTTGACGGGTATACGTTATAATATATATATATACACATTGACGTCAGGCTCTCACGAGGACTGCCTCAATTTGTGACAGCTCCCGGTAGCTTCTCATGCCCCCCGTGACTTTTTCACGTATTCCTTTCATGTTGACACATCTTTCGCATCTGCAAGGCTCTAGATGAGCGGGTTCAGAGTTTGTTGGAGAGCTACTTGTCCTCCGCAAAGTCTGACGACGCCATCAAGAACTTCAAGGATATGCAGGGAACCGCAGGGCCTAGATATGTCATGCTTAAAAAGGGCGTTGACTTACGCTTTGGTGCAGTGTAGTGCCAAGTGGTAAATGGTCCCCAACACGAGCGGTGCCGAACATGGAAAAGGCGACCGCTGTGTGAGGTGTGACAGATGTTAATGTCCACTTGATAAAGATATCAATAATTTGATTGAAGTGATCTTCCCCGCCCGAGACAGACCCAGACAAACTGGCTCGGACGGAGGATTTTGCAGCCGAAACTCCGGGGGTCTTTGATGAGGCCGGTGCGGGGAATTCTTGACTTTGCCTGGCATTGGGCTGAAGAAAAATGGCAGACCTGTGTATGTACAATACGGTATAGGGCAGTGAAAAGGGTTTGCCAGCAACTTTTTTGAAGTGAGAGACAGCCAGCTAGATCCCCACGATCTGTTCGTGCTTGGATCAAGTCTGCGAGCGTGATTATCGAACGTACAACATTCTCCACAAGAAACCTAATTAACGAGCTGATTCGACTTGAAAAGCCATTAAGAATTTTTGAGTGCTACAGATGAGGCTTTTGAGCAAGGCCACACCCTATCATTTTCCTGGCTTGTAGATGAGAATTTAAAGTTGATTGATTCTTGGATTGGTTGCTGATTGCCGTTCGCAGGTGGTGGTTTGTGCCTTGCGAACAGCTCTTGGTCGAACAGAGAAGCAGCGAAAAATGGTCACAGACCTCTTGGAGCTTTTGTACAAGGAGTCATGAGGGATCGGGGCCCGAATCGGGGGGGCAAGGGCAAGGGTTAAGTTTGAGGCCTGAAAGCATGGATATCATAGCAGTGAACAGTCAGTCCGAGGGCTTTGAAGGAACCCTTCGGTGACAGGCCTCGGCCTTCGAACCCTCGGTTTCCGTCTTCTTTGCGAAAACACACCCGGTTGTGGGTGGTTGTGGCCAAAAAGCGGAACAACAGAGACTTAGCTTGCGTGGACTTAGGATCACAGACTGCCAAGAGAACACCATAGAACAGCGCGCTTCCAGCGAGGCACCTCGCTTCCTCCCCGAACCATGAAGCTGGAACAGGTCTCGTTGAGCTTTTCAACACGCTGCAGGACAATGTACTTGACCGACCTTCACTTGTGAGGGGCTACGCGACACTGATTTGCACCTGGCAGGCCCAACATGGTGAGAGTGGGGAGGGCCTAATTATTTGTTGATTTCTACTGCAGGGAGATTGTGGAGTTTGTGACAGATTGACCTTCACTGTTCTGCATTAGCTAGCTAGCGTTCCTTGATTCACCAATTCCTTCCGAATCCAATCTGCGCTCTGTCTTTTGAACACTTATTGTAAATAAGTTAATCCCTGGTGGCACGGTTGCAAGATGTTGCAAGGAACTGTCCTCTACCAGTGGCAGTGATGCCTTGACCCACTTGGCGGCAATGCTGTGGGAGACTCTGGCGATTCGTCACGCCTGGATTTTGGTCAGCAAGAAACACAATTCTCACAGCGGGCACCCCGACCTCAAGTGGAGGTTGGAGCATGTGAAGGCTAATACTTACTTATTACTTATATAAATACAAACTGCTGGGCCATATCATATAACCTGCGGGACATATGAGGATGATAGAAGCGGCATTGATCACAGGCCTACTGATTCTCGCAGGAAGGGATGAACAGGACCACTGGTGTGTCACTCCTTATGTGGTTGAAGCTGCCGCTTAGGCTGAAGTGCATCAGAAGCGGATGCATAGTGGAAGAGTTTCTGACTAGGCCTGGCTGACAGAGTGGGAGACTGCAGGCTTTGGCATGCGCAAGCATGGAGTTCATATATTTAGGTACTTTGGAATTTGGAATGGGCAATTGTCCGACTTTGAAACAGGCTCCACGAAAACCACAAATTATATAGCAGCAGAAAGAGTTTATGTGATGAGTTAGTTTATCCGAATGAGTCTTTGCCTGCTGCTTCCCCTCAACCTCTTCCCAAGTTTGGCCCGCAGACCTGTGGGCCGTGTGGGCCGTGCTGTTCGTCACCGGGGTCAGACTCGCCATGGCATCATGGGATCGGTGGACATCCCTGGGCAACTCCATGCAAGTCCATCTCATATTTTGTCAATTTTGTTGACAGTGGTGCGTTTGAAACATGTTTAACCAGCACATGCCCCTTGCGTTTTGATCCACGGCTCTTCTTTGGTCTTCTCCACAAGCAATATGGAGCAGGTTGCCTGAGGGCTTTCTAGCAGCAGTGCTTCGAGATGACGAAGCCCAGGCTGTGGTCTCGTGGCAAGTGATGTGTTTTCGTCACCTGGAACCAGGCCGTTGTGCAAATGTAAGGAGTGCAACATCATCCAGGTCCACGAAAAGTAAACCTGATCACATAGAACCTCTTCAATCACTATTGACCACCTACAACCCTTCTTGGGGCTATTTGGCAACAGTCCACGCCCAGCGTGCTTGTGGCCAGCCTGTTCCAGGATACGAAGGAGCTTGAGAAGGCGGGCCTCATGACCCGTTTCCCGTGTTGAACATGATCTTACAACAGACCTCTTGAGCAGCTCGTGAAAGATTATAGAAAGAGACACTCCTGAGGTCCTAGCGGAAGGTGGATCAGCGATTTTGAAGCAGTTATTATATACTTATGGTTGGTAAGGTATTCATATTCTATAGAGACTCGGGACCTGCAGCAATCTCATTTTGTGCTGGTATGTTGTGCTGTCCATCCATTGATGTCTTGAGTAATTAGATTTTATACCTTCCATGCAGATCAGGATTGTGAAGCATGAACTTCGAGGTTGAATGCCCCAAGCCAAAGGACGCACTATACAGGTCTTTGCACTGTGATCAGGTCCGAGATCGCTTGCATCACTTCAAGCAAGGGATTGAGGTGCGAGAACCTGCCTGAAAAAAAAAACATTGCCCAGCCCATGGAGGGCACGAGGGCGATATTCGGTATTTGAACATATTTCAAGCAAGTGCTCCATGTTCTTGTCTTGGTGGCCCCACTTACTTGAGAATGCGGCCTTTCCAGGGCGCAAAGCTCTTGGAAACACCACTGCCATCGGTGGAGCAAGCGTTTTCCGTCCTCAAGGACCAGGCCTCGGCAGACAGAAATAGAAATGGATGGTGAAATGATGACGGAAAGCGATGAATATCGCTTTGAGTTGCTCCCCGGAGGTTCTGCTGGGGGGGGGGGGGGAAAGTTCGAGATTTTGATTTGCAGACTTTTGGAGTGTCTTGAGGCAGGATCGAAGGTGCAAAGAACACTGTAATTTACAGTAAAAAGTGGCTTTGGGT